TAACATGACTCCACGATATTCCTTCAGGAGCGCAACGATGCAACGGAACGGATGGCAGGTGCAAGGAAACAAGGAGGCCTTACCATAGATTTCTTGCTCGTCGATGGGTTCAGGAGCCCACTTGTCAAGCTCGGCGTCGGCTTCGGGCCATAGCGATTCATCGTCACAGAAGGGCTGACTGAGGTACCAGGGCTTGGCGTAAATGATGTCGTCAAACATGTGCTCGGGGCCGGTCTTGGGCGCCGTGCGCTTGTTCTGACGCGTCGGCAGCTGAGCCGCGCTCAGAATGGTCGGGTTCGCGTTGTCAAGATCTTTGACCATGGCGTCAAGCGACAAGAATGATGTTCCGGTGCTGTCTTTTGCCTGGAAGGTGGGGGGGAAAGATGGCCAAGTCGGTGGCTTCTGTCGCCACCCCGGCAAGCGCAATCAACTGTGATCCCCAAATGTTCTCCGCTGCGATCTTGGTATACGTTTCCGGCTGCCACAAAAGTCCCAATATGTGACAGGATTGAAAGGGGGGAGAAAAACCCCAACCCGACAGAGAAACCGAGGTAGCCTTGCCGAAGGTACCTTTCTTTCCGTCCTGAACCCCTGCTGTTCGGTAGCGACGGATGGAACGTTGGGATGATGTTGGTCGGTGGCCTCTCGTCGTTTGTGGCTCGAAATACGAAGATGCCGTTTTTCGACTTTCCTTGCCACTCACTCTTAGTGTGGGTTTCTTTCTTTCTTTCCTGAGTGACGTACTTGTTGGTGGATGGGAAAGAAATGACCGGCCCTGAGGGAATCAATATTTTTGGTCAAGTGGCTCCAGACAACCCCGCAACCGACGGGGATTATATAAGCTATCGCGCCCTCAGTGGTACAGTGCATGAATCGCCAATATTATCATGAGGAAAGCACCTCCCAATATTGCTCCTCACTTTCCAGAATTGGTCGTCGAATGTATGGGCCGCACTCCTACCGCCCCCGTGTCGTCAGCGATCCACCAAAAAAGGGTTATCGGTGATCCTCCAATAAATTCAAAATAACCTCTTGGTGGAATAAGACGGTAAGTGAGGCCGAATGGTGTATGTTCTCGTCCCACCTCCTTTCAAACCCTTCTGAAGGACCCTCTGCTGTAAAGATCCCACATAGACACCCTAGGCCCGGCGGATGTGCCCTGGTGGGCTTGTATGTTCCTGCATGCCATCTGTAATGACAGCCTGGAGGACGGCGAATCTTCCATTTTCCGCACCGCCCTCCCGCCCCCATGTCACCACACCTTCGGACGAATGCTCACTCTGGAGCTAAGATCATCTCAGGCGCCTGGCCTTTTCGTGGTAGCAGCAGCGTAAGGCTGATTACGCGTAGACCCTGGACTGGAGGAGGGGGGAGAAGATCCGGCCTGCAAGGGGACATGTTAAAAGTTAAATTGCCCTTTTGCATCCCCAGGCCAGTCCGATAGACTGCGCGCGGCTCGGGCAGTCCCATTATGACTTCATATCCTTCTCATCTCTCCTTTCGGACGGTCCTAACGAAGACTAATGTCCAAGGCCACGTTGGGCCGTTCCGTTGGTAAAATGCGCCGTTCGCGTGGTCGCGAACCCATCGCCTCGGTCGCCTGTCGTTCGGAGGATCAATCTACTTTGACTCTCAAGGCGGACTTTTAATGGTGTGTGCGTACTAATTGGGCAGCCTTGTGAGATTTGGCGTTCCGCGGCGCGCGGTGCCTTCTCTCGTTCTTCTCGAAGCTTGCCAGAAGCATGACGGAAGCATTAGAACAAGATGAGATGCGATTCCGCAGCGCCACGACCCTACCTAGTCGGCAAGCCTCCCAGAAGCGCTTCATCGAAGCTCCGCTCACAATTTCAACCACGCCTTCGTTCCTTTTGGCAGCTGTCGTGGGGAATCTTGTGAAAGGCTAGGCGGTGTACAGTGTATGGCTGTGCCCGGGTGCACTCTTTGAAGCTTCCCCAGAGTGGACAGACGGGATTGGCCTTCCAGGTACCGTAACCGTTACAGTCGGCCGATCATCTGTTGTCCCATCCGCGCCGAACATTTGACACGTGCCTAGGTAGTAGGTACATGGCAATATTCTTGATAACGTCCACCTGCCTCATTATTCAACGGGCACTCGGCCAGTCTTTTTGTCGCTGTCTTCGCCGCCGCCACCATCATCAGCTCTCTGCATTGTTGGATCGCCACATTGTCGGCAAGTGTTCCATATGCGAGTCACGAACACCACCACCACATGCTGACTGAACATGGGTCAGCAGCACCTTAGTGTACATCCGGCTTTGCAACTGGATACCCATTCGGACCGTTCTATCTGTGAGCACGCCCCGCCGTGTTGCCATAAGATGTCCCCACTATGGCCCCCTGCCCTTGTCCATTCAGCCACGCTCATCAGAGATCTTGGGGGCGGAGAGCAGGAGCCCCCCCCTGAACGAACGATTTCAGGAACAGATTGTGCGAAAAGGAACAACCAGACGTGATACCGGTAGATGCTCGCTCTCAGGGCTAGGCGCGTGGTTCATTGGCAAGAGTTCGGATCCGAAGCACACACGGCCCAGGATGCAGGGAGAGCGACCGATGAGGCCTGAAACCACCATTGCGCCAGTTCAGTGCATAGAAGCCCCCTTCGATCTTGAATAAAGATGCCCACATACAAAAGGCCCAATAGGTTCGCAGAACGCTAAACTATGAACGACGAATCCATTTCAGATCAAGCTTGGTATGGAGGGTTGGGTGGACTGGTTCTGTGCTGGCGGAGGAGGCTGGGCCGCGCAGTAGACGACAGGTTCGACCGGGCAGAACAGGCCGTGGCAGGGCTTCAAGGCATGGGTGATGAGTGTCGAGTTCCTCGGTAGGTTCCATCCCAAAGGCCTGTGATACTGTTGGACCAAGTGGCCACCGGTAAACTTTTTAGCACGTGAATGATGACACTACCTACCAGTTTCTCCTCTCCGTTATTTCGACCAGGTCCCCTGCTGACCGTGTGTCCGTGACTGGCCGGTGCTGCTGGCATTTCATTTACGGCGTCAGGGGGTGGAGGAATGGTTGCCGCATGGAATACCGAGAATAATAAGCCTATTACTACCAAACGGCATCACGCCACCTATTCTATGCCACGAGTGAATATAGCGACATCCATCAACAACAATGCGTCTAGCGTTACTTGTAACCCTGGAGGCTCGAGAGATGGGTACAGTATACAATGTATACCCTGGTCTTGTCATTAGCTGTTTGTGTTTGTGCTCCGAAGCAAAGGGCCTACGCCTCGCCTGTTGTTGCAGTTGAAGATGAAAGAGCTGGTTGCTCATCGATAAGATATCCCAATCCGTCGTGCTTGGATTCGGTTCCCACACACTCGGGTGACAAAAAACAGGATACCTTTCTCCAACACCACTACAACACCACAACTACTATTAATTTAATAGCCTGTCATTTTCCCTTCCTCAGCTCTTTTTTCTTGTATTTAATACCTTTAGCCTCAAGAATTTGGTAAGCGCCTTGTAATTGTGCCTTTCTTCTTCTTCTTCTTCTTCTTTTTTTTTTTTTTTTTTTAGCGTATCAAGGGCTAGGTAGCCTGTTACGGTAGTGATAGTAGTTGTAGTAGTAGTGATAAAGGTAGGTAGTGGTAGGTAGTAAAAGGTATCCTGTTTTTTGTCACCCGGGTGCCACAGCCCCCGTTTGGCATTGTCGAGCGGTCCACCTGATCGGGTGGCGTAATCCCCTGACACCCAGTGCCTCCAAGCGTGTGGATGATAAGATGGGGTGTTTGATAATGAGCTTACACGGGGAAGCTCTTGTTGGTGTACACGGCAGAGCTGCGGGTTCCTAGGCTTTTTTTGCCACAAATGACTGGTTCCACATCGGAAGGCTCGCCAACAAAACATCGGACGGATGGCGTGCGGAGTAGAACCAGGTGGAGGCTGGCAAGCCCGTAAGTACCTGCAGACTGAAAAGGGAGAGGCGTACCTACACTAGCTTGGGCGAGTGCCAGTTGGTTTCGCGCCGACCGGACGGAAAGGCGACTGCGAGGCCTGAATCTTCTTGAAAGTCACAAAAACGGTTCGACTAGGTAGGTGACAAGACGGGATGGCTGGCCGCCGGGCTCAGGAACCTAACGCAAAGTGTCCAAGTCTCGCCGTAGATAATGCGCATCGATCCGTCGACGACTGTAGTGAAGTTACTATGCAAGGGAATAAATCTGGCCAATGCAGCAAGCGGACATGCATGGCAAAGCTGACGATTTGAGGAGATTGTTTGATGTAGGCCTATTGACCAGGATACGGTTGGCGCAATGTTACATTCTTACGACCTTGGTTATCCACCACCTTGTAGTTTAGTACGGAGTATACGAGAGTTGCACTTGCTTGGCCAGAGCCGTATGCAGTTGATGGGTACAGCCAGTTCCTCGGAATAATGAGGAGATGGGAGATGGAGAATAAGCCTTAACCACACATACTCTGGAGCTACATATAGTGCCTACATGATTAGTAAGTACCTAAGTACCTGCCTAGTTTACGTACACGTACATAGTATGAAAGAACTAGCACACATCAATGATCCAACGATGGGTCTTCAATATCCCTAGGTACCTAGCGAGTACGCGTACTTGTACGATGTACGTACTCAGACGGGGGCTTCCAGAACCAAATCCCAGTAGGGGTGGTGGTTCAGGTCCCATGCGAGCGGCATCCACTGGAAGGCTGATCCTGGCGAAATGGAGCGGTTGGAAGTTGGGCGAAAGTGAGGAGGGGAAAGGGGGAGTGGACAGGGAACCAAAGCTAGGCGGGGTAAGACACGAGTACCTATCCTGGACGGGCCCAACTTACACTACACGTACACTAGAGGATCAGGCCCGACTGAGGGACAAGGTACGGTGAGATGGTCAGGCTTTGGGGTGAGAGGAGAGCGGCACGGTGAGTGCTGGTTAGCGTGGTTTGTTACCATGAGTCGGCGAGGTAAGGTGCGTTATCACATCTGGGATGTAGAGCTGCCGAGTACCTAGGTACCTAGAGGAGGAAGGGTACAGTACGTACCTATATCACAATAACCATATATGGCCCTCTGCGCTATGTTGTCATTTGTATACCCAAGCCGAGGTAGGTAAGTGTTGTTAGTGTGTTCGTGCAATACCACAAGAAGACCTTACGGATATCCGTAAATCCGTAGGGAGTGGGCAAGTACCGTGGCTTTTGTGTGTGTGTGTGTGTGTGTGTGTGTGTGTGTGTGTGTGTGTGTGTGTGTGCAGGCTTGCAGGCAGACCAAACCTGCAGAGTGATGAGATTGGCAGGCTCAAATTCCCAGTCTAGCATTGGAGGCAAGTAACAGCGGCGGGGTTCTGTCAATCCTTGGCTCCTTAGTGCCAGTGTTAGTCCTTGTAGCTTGTGATATAGGAAGACAAGCACTATCTTAGTCGATTGGGGGGGGGGAAAGAAAACCAGACGGACTACCTAGGGCAGGTGCGAGCCGGCCTGTAATGATAAGGTAAGCGGGTAGTGGAGACTATTGGGCCCACATCTCACGCCTGCAGTCAATCCAAAACTCCTACCTACCTACCTACCTACCTGGGCAGTGGAAACACAACGTGGTAAACTAGGTAGGTAGAGTTCCTCATGCACCGCGCCAGAAGCAACTTCTCACACACGCCGCGACACAGCAACTGAGGTACCTTACCGCGGTACGGCAGATGCCGTCTCTCTGTACCAATGGATCGTCAGCTTTCACCCAGCCCCATGTCACTGTTGCGCATCCTATCCGACGGGCCCCATGCAAGCTTATGGCATGGCACGGCACACTGTTTGTTTAGCCTTCGATATGTTCGTACCTTTGACAACGTTGACACGGCGCTATCGCACGAACTTACGTACGTACAGTACGTGCGCTTATTCGTAGCCATCGCGCACCAGCTCGTGCAGCGACGCCAGGGATGCCATACGACATTCTGGGCACCGGGCCTTGCTCGAGCTCCAATAACCTCAGCGTCCACCTGTCAAGGGACATTCCGCCCAAGGCATGACGGCCGCCTCCCCCGCTTTTCCTCCGCCGGCCTGTCTTCGACCGGCTCTTTCTTCTCCTGGCTGGCACCTCGGCAGACGGGACAACGTCTGCCAAAGGCCATAGTCTTAGGCTAAGGGCGTCTGGGCGGCTAAACTGGACGAGCTAGCCCTTGGTCCCAAGATCTGGCTGTAATGGCATGCCTCCATCGCTGTAGAATACCCTGAGCATCTCTGTCGGAAGACGTTCCATGTCCTACAGTGGCATTAGGAGCCTAAAGGAAGAAGAAGAAGGAGAAGAAGGAGAAGAAGAAAAAGAGCGAGATACAAGGATCGGCACAGACACCTCAGAACGTCCGTCTCTGTTCTGGCCGACACTGTCGTAGTTTACGTAGCTCTCACGCACAGCCAAGGGAGCAGGCTTCCGAGCAGAGTCTCTACTAACATATCCGAACATGTCTAGTGTACAGAAAGGTAGCAAAGGGGCCTCGTGGCTCTCTCCACCTCCCACTCCCCCCGTCGTGGACGCTCATCGTGGACTCCTGGGAGAACCACATTTGTTGGTGAACCCGTCCACACCAGGTCAGGATAACATGGGGCGAAGCCTCAGGTATCGCCTCCGTATCCGTTCTGCCCTCCTGCTCTCAAACTCTGTCGCAGACCTCCAGCCGCAACCCACCCGTTGCCCTACGTAGGGGCGCGAGGACGGGTAAGGTACGGCAAGAGCTTAATTATGGGCACGGGTACACACACCTTGTCCTGCCTCGCGCCTTGCCAATGTTAATCCACCTTGCTAGTTTGCTTCCGACCCTACTTACTACACAGGAGCTCTTTGCAAGGTGGTTGTTATGGAGAATCGCCAGGCTCGCCTTCTCGGGCATGCATCTCACCTGGCCATTGTCGTCGGGGGTGCTTGCTGCGACAGGCAGGATGGTGACCCTTACGAAAGATACCTTGGCTTCCATGAGCCGAGCTCCTCCTGGCTTGAGGTACCCAGCATGAGGGCAATATGGTTATTGATACAGACGACTCTCGACTGAGTGTGAGAAACCTCGGCCAGAGGCAATCTATAATGGATACGCATCCATGATGCGCCATCAAGAACGGAAGTTGGAATTCGATATCAATATCGAATGAGCATGGCCACTTATTATAATGACATGGGACATCAGTGAATGTGTGACATCCCTACCCACCTCTCTCTCTTTAGTTCCTTGACCCAACTGGCGGTGCTGGCCCCTACCGCCATTTCAGCCTATAGTGACATGTATCTTCCCCCTGCTGTCTCTGTAGTAAAGAGGAACGGACAGGTCCAACTTCAGCTGCCGGGGGTGGGGGGTTACCTGTCATGTTCTTCGGCTTGCTATTTCAGACGAGGTACGGAGTACTTTGTACATACCCAAAGGTATTCGCGCAGTGTGGGCCCCAGCGCTGTATTCGTGACACTGCCCTGCCGTGGCATGACGACTAGGCGAGGCGAGGCGCCTTTGCTGCGTCCGTTGCAGTATCTCTCATCTGGCCCGGTACGAGTTACTGGAGCTGGAGCTGGACTGCTCCTCTTTTTCTCACCCTTCGCGGCCAACCTGACACGACGAGGAGGGAGACGAGGAGGATTTCCTCACAGCGGCATTGGTCGCCCGCGCATCTGTCAAACCCCAAACGCCACTGCTCTTTCGCCTCATGAATCCCTTTTTTTTTTATTCTTATTTTACTTTTACTTCCAGCAACAGTCAAGGCAGCTTGCATGCCTCGTGCGCCTACATTGGGCAGACGCACTCAGCTGGTCCACTAAGGCCGTGTCCCGGGAATTAGGTGGGTTCCGACGCCCTTACGGAGTTGTGTTCGCCCTTGCCGTGATGCATGTCGATGGCCTTGGTCATACGCCGAGGATCACTCCCTGGGCAGTCGAACTGCCCTACCGCGACGAAACGACGTCGACAGACTTGCGGCATGCAAATGCGAGAGAAGGAGGATGTGGCTCTGAATTGACCGTTCCGTCTTGCCCTGGCTGTGACATCGCTCGAACCTCGCCCACTCCCGCCCGCCTTCTCCGTCCGAACCAAGAAAAGAAACAGAATGTTCCGTCGTCCGTCTCTTCTTCTTCTTCTTCTTCTTCTTCTTCTTCTTCTTCTTCTTCTGCTCGGATTGCATTGTCTGTGTGTCTGCCAGTTTCCTCATTGTCATCGCTCTGATGAACGTAGTCTACCAGGGCTACACTACCTAACGTACCGGGGATGCAGGCTCTCACCGGATTGGTGTGGGGTATTACCCCCTTCTTTGCTTTGCATAGGGGAGCCATTTCTTTTCTCTTGTCCACGCCATTTCCCTCGTGCCGGATCCAATTTCAGAGCAAGTGTCGAGCCACGGGCCCGGTAAAGGAGAGTAGAATAGTACAGCAGCAGGTATCGTTCGTCGTCGCTGTCGTCGGTCGTAGAACGTTCGCAACCCCTGGCCCGATCCTTCATTCCTCTACCAGATTCGGCCTGCGACAGGGCCTTTTGGCCTCTAGACTAGCCATGCTGCCCTGCGCGCTGGCCTGGCTCTGGCTCTGGCTCCGACGTCTCGTGGATTAGCGTGAGGCAAGGCGAGGCAAAGGGGAGTTTTCACTCCCGGCCTAGGAGGCAAGGCGAGAGATCCTTACGATACTGCATCCAAGGCAAGACATGGAGAAGGGTGTTTGGCGCTGCTGTGTTTCGATGCTGTCCTTCCTTGTATCCCGTTCTGCAATGCCACGCTCTATTCCTTGCCCTTTTCCTCTCCCTCTCCCTCCCACTCCCCTCTCTCTACTATTAGCTCTCTTCACCAAGCCTCTCTCCTCTGCCAAGTCCTGAGCGACATTGCCTGGCCTGTGCTGGTATTGATGCTGCTTTTTTCAAGGCTGACAGACTACAGTACTTGGGTACCGTTCCTGGGGTTGCTCCTGCCGCTGTGTGCCTGCGCTGCCGCTCACGTCTTCGCCGCATTGCGCGACCTCCCACCCTCCACTCCAACCCTTCGCCCACACTCCAGCATCCACCTGGATATTCACACCCGCCCGCCCGCCCACCCCTCCGCTCTCTACACACACGCATAGAGGTGCGCTCACTGCCCTGCCCCTCTGTCTCTTGCGCTCACTCATTGTCCACTACGCTCTCCCAAGTTTCCGTCGCCAATACCCTACGACAATACTACCCTACAACCACGCTTCGACTACCTTCACACAACCCTGTCCTCAACCCTGTACACACATACACACACTTTCTCTCGTCCCCACTCCTCTTCTGTTTCTCCTCTCCTCCACAGCTCCTAGCATACCCTGCCCACCCGGCCCTCTCCTCTCTGTCGACTCCTGGTCGCACCCATCATCGAACATCCGTCTCCTATACCCTACCAGTGCAGTGATGACCCTGCCTGCGCCAATGTACCCAGCCCAGATCTTGTTCCTTACCCCGGTCGTCTCCTTGTCCAGGCATACCCACGTCAACCCTTCACGCCTCACGCCGGGACCTGTCGTCCATTCATAATAAGGCTTGACCTTCTCCCGCATACCCCCCTCACCATCACCCACCAATCCGGACAATTCCTAGCCCAGCTCGCGCTCCCATAGAATTTCGAGACACAACTCCCCTCTGGGTGCTTTCTTTTCCTTCAACCTCCCCTCTACAACTATTTTCAACAAGACACAACTGTTTAGCCGCCGACGATTTCCGGACTGAAAGGCTCACCTAGAGTGAGAGTGAGAGTGAGAAAGACCCGCCGAGTGCGCGGCCAGGCCGAGACGGTCGGCGCCAATCACGCATACCCAGCCTTCAAGCAGCGAGCTTGAATGTAACTGCTGCTTCTTTGTCTCCGCTCTTCGTCAGAGACTACGTCTTCAACCTCACCGCTACCAGACATACCGAACCACCCGCGATCCAGCCAGGCATGTCTAACGATCCGTCCGTGAGGCGCATCTTGCCTCAGAGCTCCCAGATGGGCAGTTTCTCTTTTGCGCCACAGCAGTTCCCTCAGAGGGAAACCCAGAAGAGTGCGCCATCTACCTCCGCCCTTTGCCATCTAGGCTTGTGTCCATGCAGTCTCGTCTAACCAGCGTCATATAGACTATGTTTTCGTGGATGAGCACAATCGTCATAAACGATTGAAGGGTACGCGCGCGCTCCCCCGCCGCTGAGCAGCGCGCAACTGGACATGAACTAACCATATTCCTTCAGTGATGAGAGCTTGTGAAGGATGCAGAAGAAGGAAGATCAAGTGCGATGCGGCCACGACAAACACTTGGCCTTGCTCAGCATGCATCAGGCTCAAGCTTCATTGTGTTCGTCCCAATGGCCAGTACGATGGCACCGACAGTTACGAGCCAGGCAGGGATGAATTCGCCACGACGCCCTCTCAACTGCAAGACAGCTTCCGCCATCAAGCCTCCATGCAGCAACAGTCGATGATGTCCGGCGGGCAGAAATCCAACCCGTCCATGTATGCTGCTCAGGACGCATATTCGGATACCAGCATCTTCCCGCCTGTTCACTACTCTGAGCAGCCGTCACACCAGCATAACTTGCACTATACCACGGTGTCCCCCTCGGTGTCTATGATGGAACAGCCCTACACCGGCCAGAATGTGTTTCCTACGCCGCCTCTTCAGCATAGCGCACATCCAGATTCTCCTCCCGATACATATTCCCAAGACGGCTCCTATCAGCAATCCGATCTGGCTGACCTTCTTGGCTCACTGAAAGTCAATGAGGCGGGGACAGGTATGTCGATCCTTTTGCTGCCCACCCTGACGTTGGTAACTAATGGGCTGCTGTAGCGCCATACCTGAGAAACAAAGCCTCTTTCCTCCATGACGAGGAGCCAGCCGTTGAAGACGCCGAAGATTTCAAGACTGCCTTACCGCCCATCACCTCGGGACCAGGTCTGAAGATTCGTATCCCCCCCGAATTAATGCCAGACGACGAGACTGTCATGCATTATTTCGACCTATTCTTTAGCCATGTGCATCCTTATGTACCCGTTCTTAGCAAGACCGTGTTCTATCACCAATGGAACACCAACCGGGAGTCCATATCACCTCTCATTCTCGAAGCCCTATTTGCCATGGGTGGGAGACTTGCTGACGATCCTGCTCAAGGGCAGCAATGGCTTGCCTTGGCGACGAGTACGGACCCACCGTTCACCCATTCGGACTGTTACTGACATGACGCAGAACACGCTGACTCTTTCATGGACGTACCGAGACTCAGCACCCTTCAGGCGTTGCTGCTCATTCTGAAAGCCAGGGAAGCAGCACCGAAGCGCGGCTACTATTACCGCTCATGGATGACAATCGTACAGTGCGTGCAAATGGGTAAGGATCTCGGCCTGGACGAGCATTACTCGGACCACCAGCTTGGACGGCCGTGTGGCTCTTCCCCAACAGAATGCCAGATGAAGAGTAGGATCTGGCAGGCAATTTTTGTCTGCGAAACCATGATTGGATCACCCCAAGGTCGGTGTTCTTGGTCCCTTGCTATATTGTCTTATCGGACGAGTTACTGAATATCTATTGCAGGACGAACCGATCTTGCTGTCGAGTTAGACTCCATCGACTTCAGTGTTCCGCGTCCCATCCCGGGCGGCGACGATTCCGAGCACCACATCACCCGTAACTTTACCTACTTTGCACGAGTCGTTCGCAATGTCAGCCGCATGAACACTGCTTACGGCCATCTGAAGAAGAAGAAGACGAAGGACTGGGGCGTTGATCCCGAGTTTGTGCAGCTCAACCCGGCCCTAAACGCTTGGTTGAACGACCTCCCCGCAGATCTATCGGTTACCTTTCCTCCGGACGGTTCGCCGCCGTGGCTTTCGTCGCCATACATCGGGAATATGCACTCCTACTACTACCTGACCTTGATTCTGCTTCATCGACCTCAGCTCAACTTCCTCGACCCTAACGGACAGGATGGTCAATGGAAACAGCATATGATGATCTGCTACTCGGCTGCCAAGGCACTCTGTCGGCTGCAGGAGGCAGTTCTGAACTCTTTTGGCCTCCCCGGCCTGCAATGCATGCTCCGTGGGTTCAGTTTCACCGTTTACTGCGGCCTTTGCTGCATTGTTCTGCATTTGGTGAGAGTCACTCCTGCGCTTCCCTATCAATCATTGTTTTAACGTGGTGGTGTTTCAGGTAGCTGTTGTTTCGCCAGATCCCGATCTGAACACTGACGCTCGCGAATTTTTCACACGGCACATGCGAGTCCTTGAGAGGGTTATGACGGCTTGGCCAATGGCGGATCTGCAGAAGCAAGTGGACGCAGTACGCGAAGCATTTTCTGCCGATACCAGAAAACCTTTCGTACTCAAGCCAAGTTTCCCTTACGGCAGCCCTCAGTCGTCCAACCATTCCAGTCCTCCTCGGGGCTACAGGCCTGGTATGGGTCGCACTATGTCTTTGGGTCAACAGCTGGACACTCAGAACCTTCAGCATTCTCAAGTCAGTTATACCAGCCACCCCATTACACCTCCTATTTCTGCCGGGCCTGTGGATACCAAGGGTGACTCGCCTGCTATACAGTCGCTTGTCATGATGGCCAACCAAGGTTCCCAAGCGCCGGGGTTGCAGCAATCGATGTCGCTTTCAGATGCGCCGGCCTGGAATCCCGCACGTATTTTTGAGTAAGTTTGCTGTACCCTGTTGTGGCGAGATGGTCCTCTAACAGAGTCTTCAAGGCAATGGAACACGTCTTTCGGTACGCCCCAGGTCCAACCACAGCCTTCGACGCTCCCTCCCCAGTCCAGTTCGCTTAGTGTTTCTCCGTCTTCAGGTGCACCCGAAGCCCCGTCTCTTCAAGACATTCAGGCTGTCAATGCCACTCTGCCAGTGGTCTCTCAACAAATGGCACAGCAGTATTCAGCTGCGCCAGTGCAGACATTTGTCTCGCCAGCCATGTGGCAAGAGTCCGTAGCTAGTGTCTACGAAGGCGGTCTCAAGCGGGCCTGGGACTACGATGGCAGTGGTCCTATGATGAAGCGGCGATGAGCCGCTCACGAAATTGATATTTGCAAAGTTACCTGACCTCGTCGACAAACACCGAATATCCTTTGCCACAACTTTGGTACAACAGGGCTGTCCTGCAATCGACACGGCACGGGTTCACGACATCGCAGAGTATCTCTGCCACAAAACAAGCAGCAAATCGATTCATACGTACATATCTTGGATTTTCGGTTCTCACGGTCCTTGGCCTCATACACGGTTTATTCTCGCGACGAATACATGTACACGATTACGATGAAAATGAGGGGAAGGGAAACATGGTTGAAGATCCAAGTTGGGCGCCGGCATCACTCATGACATTGAGAAGCATGGCCCCAACCGACAACGGGGACATCAAAGAGGCGTTTTTTTTTATACGGTTCGAGGATGGAAAAGAACAGACGAGGCGGAAGGGGGGGGGGGGGGGTGCTGTCCCTGTATCCGTACTCAGGGCTGTATTACTATATCTGGCATGTTTTCTTTTGATTGGACTGACAGCGCGCATCTCGGCACTGAAAGGAGCCTTATTTGCTTATTGTCCACCATGGAAATCCCAAAGTACATGTAAGAGAAAAGAAAGAGCGAGAGACAAAAGTTGTGTTCTTGGGATTGAACTAGTTAGTACGGACATGATACCACATTTGCGCGCATCCCAGCATTTCACATCATGACACAACGCCATGACTAGCCTCTGGCCAAGAAGGGAGGGAATCTATCGAGCTAGGCAATATCTGGTGTACTCCGGCTTGGCAGGGAAGAGGTGCCAAGGAACTCCCAGAAGCGGTCGCAAAGTCAAGCCAGCCACTAAGGTGACTGGCCGCTGTACCTAATGTTGGACATGCCCCCGGCTTCGTTTAACCGCACGTTCGAGCTGAAGAAACCATATACAGACAGGTGGTCTCAACTTGAATGCGGACTACCCATCTGTCCCGCTTGGGGGGATCACGATGGGGCTTACTTTCATTTTGGGCAACCCCGAGGGAAACGAGCTTACCAACGGGAAGTAGTTATTCCTAAAAAATAAAAATGAACAAAAACAAAAGAAAAAAACAAAGAAAGGGAAAAGTTCATCTGCTACCACTGACTATTCAAAATAAGTATACTTAGCGGCTGGGATCCTTGACCTGTCAATAGCCCGCGCCGAGAGAGACGCCGTAGGGAATTCGGCGATGTAACAGGTGTGGCGGAAAGCCGGAACCGGATGTCGGATGCTTCAAACGGGAGCTGTAACCTCACACTTGGATCAGAAGAAAAAAGGGCGGTGGATATGTGGGGTCGATCTGATTGGGAACCGTTGGTGGTTGGACCTAAGAATGCAACAGGTGTGCTGGAGCCGAAGCATCTATTCTGGCTTGCTGCTGACGCCTACCTGTTTCGATGCCGTTGTGGTTTGCCGACGTTTTGATTGTCCCCGGGGGGGCGGGTGGGGGGTGGGGAAGATTTACGTGCCGTAGCCCTGCATCCGCAAAGGTCTACTTTTCGGCTGACGGACAGGTCGAGAACTGTTGTTGTTCAACGGATCAGAGGGGCCGGACCAGGTAGTTTGGTCGGATCGGCGTTACGCGATGGTAGGTAGGCGTAAAGCGTACCGGTAGTAGCATGGACATCTCTGTCTCATGTTTCGGGGCCGGGGCCAGGTACATAAGGTACCTGGGCAGCCAGCCTTAAGGTGGTGCCTTGTTGGAGATGTTGGAGATGCATGTTGAACAACAACGTCCTCTTCCGAGAAAAGAGGGGGAAGGGGGAGAGGGGTGTGAACGCTGACGTCTCCTCCCCTTTTCATCAGCTCAGCAGCAATGATGAGATCCCGGCGTCTCTACTATGCAAGGGTTGAGATGACACGTTTTTTCCGTGTTGCTAACGGACAATGCATCTAGCTGCAATGCCATGCCGGGCTCCCCTAACGTGTCTCCGACAAAGGGAATTAGCGCGGCATGCAGGTGCTAACCCCCAAGTGCCTCACTCTTTTTTCTTATCCTCCCTCCCCTGTGTCCCACCCATCCCCTACCCCAAGGCCGACGACAGTCCCGAGATCCGGTCTCTTTTCATCCCAATTATTCTCCCCCCCCCCCCCCCCCCGTTCTTCTGATGAAACAACGGCCATCCCCGCCCCTCGTCCGGTGTACCTATTTCTTTTTGGGACATCGCCGTGGCTGAAGATTTGTCGTATGCGTTGTATGCGCTTGTATACGTAGAATTGATTTGTATTGAGACTCGACACCCACGCCTGCGAAACATGGCACGGCCTTCTTTCTGTGCCGCCCCTCTGTTCGGGTCTGGTGGTGTCTGGCCTTTGTCCCTCTGCCGCAGCGTCACAATTTCAATCAGTCATGGGCCTCACGCAGGGCAGGTGTCGTTTCCCTTTCTCCCTTCAATATTTTCCCGTCCTTAGCTCTTGTTTGTTGCGGCAGAGCTCTGGGCACGGTGGACAGATTAAAAAGGTTGGAAGGAGGTTACAAAAGATAGGCCTCTCTTGTATAAGAGGGCTAACACATGAAGATGGGGGACCCCAGTGAACTCTGAGGGACCGTTCGACGCCTGCGCACATCGAGGGCCATGTAATACAGCGTCGTTGCGGCGGCGGCGGCGGCGGCGTCCCGCGGGTGGGGGTAGGGGTGGGTGATCGAGAGGTTATCGGAGGGGACGTCATTTTCAGCGATGAGTGATGTGGCGGACGCAGGTACGTGGCGCACAGGGGTTTTCCAGGGAAGGAGCCGGTTTGTAAAACGAAATATACTTGAGGTAAGGCTTGTGTCAGCGAGCGAGCGAGCGAGCGGCATACAATCTTGCGTAGGCAACAGCACATCGATGGCGGCGGCAATCCGACGACATGATTCAGGCCGATTGTCGCCTCTCGGCTCCACGGTATCCTTATAATGGGCAAGCTGATATACAGTGACACACTAGGTCATGTGTTTTTGTTTTTAATTTAACAAGTGTAAAGTAAATTATAGTTAGGTTCCCTCCTGAGGGGGCGGTCTTCCGTGAAATCTTTGGGCCGTGGCAAAGTAAAAGTACAATGACTAGTACACTAGATTGTCTCTTTGGAAGGAGGTGTGGCGGCGGTCTCTGAAAACATACACGGAGCTGTTGTCTTCACGTCCCCCTCTTTTCTCTGGGCCGGACACTGTAGTTATGTCAAGTACACCCAATATACACAAATCCTACAATCCATCCCTTTTCTATATGAATCATACACATTGCCGCTCTGGCAGGGCACCCCGGCCGGGTCTCGAGCCAGGACAACTTACTTGCGCTTACCCAGCGACTCGCGGACAATGGTCCAGACCCAGCCATCCTTGGCGCCGTACCTAGCGCTCTTGCCGCCGCTCTTAGCGCCACCACCGGAGGCGACATCCTCGCGGATGCCGAACCGGCTCACCGGGCGGTAGTGGTGCCACTTGCGCTTCGCCATGAGAGCCGAGACGTCGCGGACGTGCGTGACGAGGCCGAGGCGCGTCGCAAGGCCCCCGCCAGCCGCCTGCGGCGAGACGGGGCGGAGGTCGGCGGCGGAGACGAGGGTCGTCCTGGGCCGGGTGGCGAGGCCCATGGTGCCGAGCTCAAGCTGGGCCGTGGGCGGAAGGGTGCGGACGTAACGCTCGAGGAGGGCGCGCGACTGCCGCGCGTACGGGGGCAGGCGGAGGTAAATGTAGGTCACGAAGGGGGCCGAGGTGTAGGCGACGAAGAGGAGGGGGATGATGCCGCAGGCGGCCACTGGGTGGTTGTTAGCGATGTCGGAGGAACATCTCGATTGATGGGCCTTGGGGTTCAGGCGGCAAAAACAGACGAGGGTGTTTTGGGTGTGGGTTGTGACAGACAAGAAAGAAAGAAAGAAAAAGGGGGCTGTGAGGAAGAAAGGTGAGGTAGGGGCTGAGGACGCGAATGAAATGTGCACGAGGGGCACACTTACGCCCTGCAGCTTCAGTGAGCGTCTTGTCCTCAGCGCGGATGTAGCTAGGCGCGGCGACGAGGCAAAAAAAGGCACACGAAAAGACGCTCGTGATCTTCCAGAAGGCCAGGAATGCTGTCCGGCCGGTGCCGGCGTGGTAGATGAGGAGTCTCTCGGGCAGCTCTGTCAATGCGTAGGTAGGTATACAATCAGCGTCTGTAACGGCAAGATGCGGAACTCCACCCTCGGCTTCGCTTCGGAGGGAGGGGTTGCTCGAACGAACGGTAAAAATCATGGGGCGATACACATACGGTCACTTCCGGGCCGGGCAGAGCCTCCGGCGCCGGTGGGTTTTGACGCAGTCCGAGGTCCGGGACTCGGGGCGGCAGAGGCGAAGGGCCGTCTCGGACTACATTGCTGTCGGAACTGAAGAGGTTTCTGAAGGAAAACGCCCGGCGTGCATGATCTTAGGGAAGGCAGGGATTGTGCTCTCGACAGAGAGGCGCGTGTAAGAAGCAGCCTGAGGAGGGGCATTGTGATGGATGCCCATGGGGACGAGGGCGAGAGTGAGAGTGAAGAGTGAGTGGTTGTGGACGGGTTGGGTAGGTAGGTAGGGAGAGTGAGAGTTTGGTGAGATGAAATGCCGTGGTGGGTGAGGTCACTGCGCTGCCCTGCTGGGCCCTGCCTATCTTTTTTTCGTCTACGCGACGCGGCACACCTAAATTGCCTACTGAGCTGCCATCCCCTCGCTAAAACATTTTTTGATAAACTGTTTCAACCGTCTTTCATCCCTGAACCAACACTTCGACGAGAAGTTGTCGCCATGAAGCACTCGAAACGACTTGTTTGAACTTCTTGAATTACGGACTGGTCTGGGTGCAATGTTAACTCAAGGCCACTTACATCATAGTCGGCTATTCTACACGCAGGGTTGAACGCTCCAACTAACCAACCACGCATCTCTCTTAGAGCCGATGTCCCTGAACTGCGGCTTGCCGAGTATCTCCTCTGAGTCAAACAATGTTCTTCTGTAGCCACTCCTTCCACTGGTCCGGCGTCCACCCGGAGCTGATCTCGTTGCTCGGGTATCCGTCAAACAGCACCGTTGGGCTGACGTGCACGCCCGTCAACCGCGCGAGCTTGATGAGCACCTTGAAGTCGGCCGTCACGCCGTTGCCGGCGTTTAGTGCGCCGACGCTCAGTGCGCTGTCGCTGCGAGGCTTATCCGACACGAGGAGCAGCTGCAGCACCTTGTCCCCGTCAATGCCCACAGACGCCGCGAGCTTGGCCAGCCTGCGGTAGGTGTCGTTGCGCAGCTCGTTGACGACGTTGGCGTCGAAGTAGTCCTCCTGCACCTTGAAGAGCGCGTCGCTGTACTCCCAGAACTTGTGCGGCGCGACCTTGATGACAGCGATGGCCGACTCGTGGACGAGTGTGCTCGAGGGGTGCCACGACTGGACCTGCTGGCGGAAGATGACCTGAACGTTGGACGCCCAGGCCGGGTTCGCGCGGATGGCGGGGATGACCTCGTGGTAGAAGGTCTTGAACTGCTTCGCCGAGAAGGGGCAGACGTAGTCGAGATAGAGCTCGATGGTGTGGGGTTGCGAGGGGACGCCGTCCGTGAGGGGCTTGGGGGGGGCGAAGGTCAGCTTGTGGGCTGCAAACTTGGGCGGCACGGCCATTGTGGGTGGTGAGGAGTGAAATCGGGATGGGCGGGTGGTGCTTCGTCGGCGGTGTGTTGCTGAAATGGTGGCTCTGTCGGTGAGTATTGGCTTGATGGAGGATGGGGATGTGACGATGGCTGGGCGTCGAAACTGAGGTTTAGTACGATGGGCCAACTACGCTATGTGCAGCAGCCCTGGGTGATGACGAAAAAGCCCCTCCTCTCCCATTGGAGCAGACGGGGCGGGGTAGCTCTAACTATCAACAGAGTTGTGCAATAATACTCCGTAGGTATCAACTTGATGGTAAGGTTTTGCGAAACAATGATGCAAGCGGTCACGAAACTTTGCTGACTGAGAACATGGAGAAGGCCGCTAACATCACGCAACTCTACCAATCTCATGCGCTATTTCTGAGCGAACTGCGTATCCCGTTGGACTAGCATGACAGTATGGTATGCAATCCTACAGCTCCCAGTTTCGACTTGGCACATCTGTCAACAAACCAAACCATACAGCATGCTCCGGGCCTGCCGGGGTCCTTGGTGGCTCCATGCTCCTCCATGTTCGCGGGCCCCACCAAGTGGCCCGGATACTTGACAAGTCCAAACCGCGAGTCGGCTTCACCCGATTCTGCACCCTCCTCATGCCGGAACAACTCAAGAGCCGACCCCTCGTCTTTCTTTGCTGCAATGTGCGCCGGTCTCATTCAACCTCTCGCATCAAACACCACCTCCCCTCCTAAGAAACGGTGTTTTTGGCCACGATGCCCCGCGCAAATTCGCCGAACGTTATGTGTTGCTCAATGTCGACCTCCTCGCCGAGGTTCGGCTGAGTGAAAACAGCCAACGTGTTGCGCGCAACCCGGCCGTCGCTCACTGACGCTCTGACGCCCCTCACGAAGTGCGGAACCGCCTTGAACCTGCCGCCCGTGATGCGCTCGAGGGCCTCCCCCGTCTGGAATGCAATGCAATCCCGCGGGATCTTGACTTGAACTGTCTCTCCCGTTCTCGAGTGGATGTATAGCCCAGCAGCCGGGTCGGGTGACGTTGCTAGCTCGGCGAGCGGTGGCAGGCTTGCAGACTTGTCGTTTGTGATTTCTGGTACCGCGGTTGACGTCTCGTTCTCGTCGATGAACATGGCCGACGTCAAACCAGTGAGACATCCGTGATCAACATGAACGCTGCACCTTTCCACCCCGCGCGCGTTAGCTGGATTTCCAGGAGGCCGCTTAGAGGGATTATGTTACCAGTCATCGTCGGCGGCACCGATTTTAGAGATCGCTTCCTGTGTCTGCGGGTAATAGTGTAACAAGCGCGCCTTCGTCGTGTTGGACGTGCTGACAACGTGCTCCAAATAACCCTTGGTATATGCCTGTATCTCGGATTCGGCGTATCTGTCGCAAGCCCGGGCAACGAGGACCGCAGTGTCGATGATGACGCGGCACAGGCTCTCGAGGCTAGGCTTAAACCCAGGAAGTACGTCTTGCGCAGGCCATACGTTAGGCGACAGGTACTCGGGGAAGTTATCAGTGTTGAACTCGGCGGTTGGCTTGGCACAGTCAAGCGTGGCATCAACGTAGAATGCACAGTTGGCATAGTATGACCCCTTGAACGTGTCAACTTGTCCGTTCTTGAGTGTCTCTTTCCCTAAAGACCAGCCTGTTAGGTATCTGGCCTTTTCATTCTCTAGCTTTTCTGTTCATATGTCAGTAAGAGATCCTGCAGCAGGGTGGAATTTCATCTCCATACTAAGTTCATGTTCGGGCAGATTGCCCAGGTAAGAAGCATATGACAGTGTCTGGTGTCTCAAGTGACTAAACTCGGAAGGTACATCTTTAACTATCAGGATACCTAAAGATTCCGGCCCAAAAGCTTCCTCGAGCGTCCCAAAGGGAATGTTGCCTGCAACATGGTCGTCACATGTAAGTTATTGCTCCGATTCATGGAGCCATGGAACTCTCTTACCCTGCTTGAGGTCGCCCAGTGACACAACGACTGGGTGCGCGATCCGAACCATCATGGCTGTCCTACTGCGTAGTTCAAGTCTGGATTGTTGGGAAAGAACGAAATGAGTGAACAAACAATTAAACCGTGGGCGCATCGACAAGATGTCCGAATACCAATACCACCTGCCAGACACGGTCCTCGAGGTGGGGGAGGGGCACTGTCTAACAATTACGTAATCACACCATCTCAGGCATTCTTTACTCCAGCACTGGAGCTTCCCATCGCCAGTTCACCTCTCGAAGCTGCCATACTCGGCACCGGAGCCCGCCGAAAATCGCACAATATCAACAACCTCCTTCCTCATCGAGACCCAACTTTTAACCGAGACGCAACACACAAGAGAGACTCAAGAATGGTCAAGCCCCTATCGTTCAAGGGCGACAAGAAGCCCAAGAAGAGAAAGCGCACGGAGGCTGAGGCCCAGGAGCGCAATGTACATAGCGGCGAGGTCGTCCGTGCCAACAGTGCCTTAGGCACGGAAGAGAATGCGGACGATGACGATAGCTGGGTGGCTGCCGATGCTGTGCCGGATGTCGTTGGGCCCATCATGTTCGTGCTGCCGACGGACCCCCCTACCGCACTGGCATGCGACGCCGTTGGCAAGGTGTTTACGCTGGGGATCGAGAATATCGTCGACGCGAACCCGGCGACGGCGGAGCCGCATGACGTGCGACAAGTGTGGGTTGCGAACAGGATAACGGGGACGGAACAATATAGGTTCAAGGGCCACCACGGGCAGTAAGTGTGAAGAAGTGGCCGGTCACCATTGAGGCCCGGGTTCTAACGTATAGCAGGTATCTGGGATGCGACAAGAACGGCATCTTGTCCGCGACATCGGCCGCGGTGTCGCCCCTCGAATCGTTCAACATCATTGCGACAGCAGACACCCCTGGCACCTTCCAGATCCAGACGCTGCGCGACACCTTCCTCACCGTCAAGCCACCGAAGCCTAACGTTACGACGTTTGACGTCCGCGGCGATGAGGAGTCCATCACATTCAACACCACGTGGCGTATCAGAATGCAGGCAAGGTTCAAGCCAAGGCTCAAAGCAAGCAAGGAGGAGAAGGCAAAGGAGAAGATCAGTCGCAAGGAACTTGAAGAGGCTGTGGGCCGTAGGCTCGAGGATGATGAAGTGAGAAAACTGAAGAGAGCGAGGAGGGAGGGTGATTATCACGAACAGTTGCTTATGCTGAAAGTAAAGGGGAAACACGACAAATACGGCTAAAAGTGTCGCGCGGCTTCGTCAGTTTGGTTAGGGGAAAGAAGGCAAATGATACCCAGGCGAAAAGAACCACAGATATCAAGAGACCAAAAAGGCATCATTCACTCAAATCCTCTCTTTTTCTTTTTCTTTTGGTTCTTCTTTTGTTTTCTTCCGTTTCATGCTCAATTGGGTCTCCACGCTTTGATGTTGCCGTCTTCTCCAGCAGTAAAAACGACCTGCTCGTCGTCGTAGAAGCAGAACGACCGGACAATCTCTTCGCCGTGGCCGCCAGGCAGTCCAACACTGTTCGCCCTGTCGAAATCCCAACCGCCCTCTGCTGTACGCGACAAGTGCACCAGCTCAAAGATTTGGCGTCTGAATGACAAGATTAGATACAAGTCGAAAGTGAAGTAGCAAAATCTAGCAGGGAGCAACTTACTCTTGCGAGCCAGCACCAACAATGGCGCCACTACCGTCAACCTTGGTCGTCACGTTGGCGATGTACTGACAACCGAGGATCTCCCTCGCGTCGCCAAAGTCGACAACTGCAGCGCCTGAACCGTGGTCTTCGGCGACGCTGTAGACGGCGAGCTTCTCGTCGTGGGTCAGCACATATACCTCGGTGTTACCAAGGAATGAGGAGTGGTGGACGGATCCCTGGTTTAGCGTCTGGATGACAACCTCGTCCTCGTCGGAGATGCGCGTGTCGTAGACGTTGACGAGGCCGTCGGTTGAGCCTGAGAGGAGAATGTGCGGCTCTGAGGGGTGGAAGCGGAGCTCAGTCACGTCGTCACTGTGGACTTCGTCGTATTGCAGCCTCTGCGTCGGACCGGCTCTGATATCCCTGTGGTTGCGTCAGGGACTCTTGCGTTTCTAAGTAGGGAGTCAGGTATGAGGCGATAGCGACGTACCAGAGTAGCACCGACGCCATGTGATTCTGGAACTCTGTGCCAATTGCTATTGTGTTTGTTCTCGAATCACAGTCCAGAGAAAGAATGGGTGATTGGCTGGCTGTATGGCGTGTTAGTGGTGTTCGTTTTACGGCTCACTTAAGTCTGATGCAAAGGACCTACCTGCAAAGTGGGCGACCTGAGGCTTCGATGACTCCCTCATATCCCATACCGAAACCTCTCCATTCTCACCTGCGGTGCACACAATCGAATTCTGCCAGTCAAACGTCTTCAGGCTTGTCAGGTTACCATGACTGGTAGGATACGACTTGATGGGGCCCTGGCCCAGCCTCGCAGGGTTGAAAAGACCCAGTTTTTGATCCGAGGAGATGGCAGCTAGGCCAGCATTGAGCCGTTGGACGTCAAGAACATAGACATCCTGCTGGCTTGAAAAATGATGGCCATCTACACAAGAGAGGTTGTACATCTTAACAGTGGGGGGTCTATGTCTGTTTGTGAGCATGGGCTCTGGAGAAAAAAATCATCGGTGCTTTCAACTCACAAGACGAGGCTCGCGCACAATTAGCTAGATACAAAATGAACTCTGACCAACTCGTTAGGTTGTGAATACCAGCAGGCTATGAATTTCTTAGATCCAGTCCAAAACAAAATTCAGAAAGAGGCAGAACGCAGACAAGCACAGGGTATAATCCAGAGTCAGAATCAAGAGCCCAGTGAAGGAAAGGACGACAGGAGCCCTTTAGATTATGCAATTATACAGTATAGTGCTCTGATATTCGCCATAGTGTGATATCGGCTAGTTTCAACTCAGTAACCAATCATGTCTCAGAGAGTGGACTACCCTGTCCATTCGGAGCTCCCAATTACCACCTACGTGGACCCTCGAGCCAGGACAGCTGTTCTGAAAGCATCGAGCAGCGCAACTGTTGCAACCACCAACCGTCGTTCGCTCACCCAAACGTGTCTTTGTAAAATAACATGTCGCGGACCTTGGCGGTAGACTTTGGTACATAATATCCGTCCAACATGAGGCGTTCTTTTCTCTGGCTCATCCGTAAGTTTCATGAACTTTATCCGGCATTCCTACAAAGCTGGAAAGCTGACATATCCACAAGTGCTGTTGCAGGCGGCTGTTGTCTTCTGTTCCGACGAGCAAAAGATCTTGCATGGCCACGAAAAGACTGATGGAGAGAGCAAAGAAGGACACGCGAAAATACAAACAGATGTTCTCCCTGAACACCACAAACCCCCTCCGAGGCAGCCCGGTATGTACGATTTCTAGATGGTGGGGCGAGGGCGAGTAGGATCGGAAGGGCTGACATCAAGAAGGAGCAGAACTGGTTGACCTCGCCTTCGAAAAGCTGGCCAAGCTTCCACCCCGAACCTACCCGAGACGTGAACGTCGTTACACTCTTGTCTGGACTGTTCTCAGATATGCTCTCAAGTTTGTACCTAGTCTTAAGGCTGCTCCAGTCCCCGGCAGCAACCTAGTACAGGATACCAAGGTCACCGGGCCACTGTTGGAAGCCGTGAAACTTCTGGAACAATCCGCGCTGCAAAACAACACTGATGCGCTCTATCTCTTGGCCGACATGAACTTCTACGGCAACTACACCTACCCGAGAGACCTCAAGGTCGCCTTCGATCACTACCAAACCCTTGCGACGCTCCATGGCAACCGCACGGCGCAGTACATGATCGGCATTTACTATGCGACTGGGATCGGGCATGTCGTTGCACCCGACCAGGCAAAGGCATTGCTTTACTACTCGTTCGCTGCGATACAGGGCGACACCCGCGCCGAGATGGCCGTTGCTTACCGACACCACAGCGGCATTGCGACACCGAAGAATTGTGAGGTGGCAACCAAGTACTACAAGAGGGTGGCAGACAAGGCAATCGAATGGTATCGATCGGGCCCCCCCGGTGGCATGGCATGGGTGGTGGAGTCGTACCGTATTGCTGACGAGCTTGGCGGAGTCTACGGCGAGGGTGCGAGTGCCTCAAGTGCAGGTATGAACGCCATCAAAGTTAGCCCCAACTCAGACGCCAATGCCGCCATCGACGACGTTATCGAGTATCTCGACCTCATGTCGCAAAAGGGCGATGCAAAGGCTTCCTACAATTTAGGACGGATCTATTATGAGGGGCAGCGAGGACTGGACCGGGATTTGGATCTTGCTCGCAAGTACTTCTTCACTGTGGCCAAGAGATACTGGAAAAAAGATGGCCGCATCATGGAAAACCATAAGCAGGGCATTGAGAAGACGGCGAGCAAAGCCGCCGGCTTCATCGGCCGCATGTACCTCAGGGGCGATGGTGTCGACCAGAGCTTCGACCAAGCTAAGAGATGGTTTGAGCGAGGTATCTCGCACGGAGACGCCCAGTCCCAGCATGGTCTTGGTCTTATGATGCTTCATGGGTACGGAATGCCCAAGAACATAGCCATGGCCACCGACCTCTTCAAGACAGCGGCGGAACAGGACTATGCGCCGTCCCAAATCGAGTTGGGCGTTCTCTACTTGGACCAAGGTGGGGCTGAAGATGTTCGAATTGCCAACAACTATTTCGAGCTCGCTGCCAGGTACGGTCAAATCGAGGCACACTACTACCTTGCTGAGATGGTTTACAATGGCGTAGGCCGCGACAAGACGTGCTCCATGGCACTAGGGTACTACAAGAACGTCGCTGAGAAGGCAGAGCCCCTCGTCTCTTCGTGGGCCGAAGCAAACCAGGCCTATTACTACGGCGACGAGGAGCTGGCATTTCTGGAGTATGTCATGGCGGCAGAACAGGGCTACGAGCGCGCGCAGAACAACGTCGCGTTCATTCTTGACCCCGTTCAGTCGAGACTTCCGTTGCCGGACTGGCTACCCATCCCCGAATGGCTCGGTCTCCGACGCACCCGTTCAAGCCTACTGGATAACCAGAGACTTGCTCTAACGTACTGGACTAGGTCATCCAGACAGTCGAATGTTGATTCTCAGGTCAAGATGGGTGACTACTACTTTTACGGCATCGGATCCGAGCCGGATGTGAACAAGGCCGTGCAATGCTACACTGGCGCTTCGGACTACTCGCAAAGCGCTCAGGCTCTCTGGAACCTGGGCTGGATGCACGAGAACGGCATCGGTCTGACCCAAGATTTTCATCTCGCCAAGAGATATTACGATCAAGCCCTTGAGGTCAACGAAGAGGCATACCTCCCCGTCACCCTCAGTCTTTTGAAACTACGTCTCAGAAGCGCCTGGAACACCTTTACCCACGGTCCAATTCATTCCATCCAGGACGACCCTAGTAAGTCCTACTGCATAAGTGCCATGATATCTGTGCCTGATACTAATGTTTAATCCAGAGCCCAAGAAGGACTGGTCCCTTGGCGAGTGGATCGCCAATTTTCTACAGGACGACCAGTCGTACTACGATGACGCGTACTATGAGGACATATTTGATGACACCATTGGCGGCACCGGCCCTGACGGCAACCCGCTCGAGGACGACGGCATCGTCGAAAGCCTTATTATAGTCTTCATCGCCTTGTCGCTCGTGCTTCTGCTTTACTACCGCCAGCAGAGACAACAACAGCACAGGCGTGAGGAAGAGGAGCGGCGCCGTCGCGAGGGCCAGCCTGCGGTCCCCGTGTTGCAGGGGCAGCAGCAAGACCGGGGTCTATTTCCGCAGCCCGGTAACCCGGAGTGGAACAACTGGGTCGCTGGTGGTATCGGACATTGAAAATGTGACTCCTGGATGTACGATTGCACGGATAAAGCGGAAGATTAAGAATCTACATAGCTGCACGAGGGAGAGGACGATAAAGCATAATAAGCGCTGGCGTTTGGGAACCGTACTAAGACTAGGACATGTATTTCTTGAGTGGCTCGTTACAACTCCACAGGTTTCTTGATTGCCTTTGCGGATTGCGTGACAGTCACAACCATTTGCACTGCTACCGGTGCGCGCTTGGCAGTTCTTTCCCTGCATAATCCCTAGATTTGAAGGGTTCCAACATCACCGAGACAAATGAGTTACAGTCAACCTGAACAAGGTCTGGGGGTCGTTTGCCTGGTTCCTTTTTGTCGCAGAAATGCCCCTAAGTCGAATTTGGGTCAAACAAACAACAGCTCTCATCAAACGGCGGCGCATCAAGCACGGACGTTTACATATGGATGAGCTAGCTCCATATTCATTAGTTTCAAATATCGTGCCGCATCGTGTGAAGGATAAAAATAAACTGTTGACATTGTGCATAATTGGCTTGCTATTCTAGTGGTATCATCTTCTGTGTAACCCGCAAAGAAAAGACAGCAAGAAAGGTATTAACGACTATTTGAAAATAGCCCAGATGCGATCAAAAATTCAGCCATTGGGTATGTCCTTAGTATTTCGGAAGAATTAGGGACCGAAAAAGAGGTGACGCTATTTCCTTTTCGTACTAGGTAGTGATGCTCGTCACTCCGATCATTCAGAAAAACACGGAAAACTGCAAATAAGAAAGCGCGGTTTGGGCGTGGGCTGTCAATCTAGCGGCGAACGGGAGAAGTTCGGGCACCCGTTAAAGGAGGGCCTTGGGAGTTCTCCATATTACCCGTCAATTCGGCGACGCGAGCCTTGATGCGGGCTACGCGAGATTCGATCGCTGCACGGCTTGTCAGACTCGTTCAATATTTGCTCAGAGGTTCGTTGGTACTTACTCTCCTCTCCACTCGTCTCGTCGTCGCCATCGGTGGTCTTGCTGTATCCGCCACGGCTCTGCTCCTCGCTCTGGCGCTGCGCCGCACGCTCCGCAGCATTCTTGCGGATCTGCGCCCATCGGTCTATCGCGGGCGGGGATCGAGGACCGTTGTCTGGTGAGGTCGGAGAGGCCTCCACGGTAGGTTGGGGGGACTTTGCATGTCTCGCAATGGGGGGTGGAATAGCATCCTCGGACTCGTCATCAGGGACACAGGCTGGCTGCTCTTGCAAAGGGCCCTGATCGAAGCGTGAGAATTCGTGATGAGCCTCGTTGGCATCCTCGGTATCGACGCGGGATATCGATTCATCAAAGGACGGCTCGTACTGCGGCTCGTGAGCTTGAGTTTCAACGGGAGCTGGCTGAGGAGTTTCCATTGGCGTGGTGTAAGCATCAGCAGGTGTTGGTGTGGGGAGGCTGGACTCGGAAGCAATGGGCTGGGGAACGGGAGAAGGAGCAGGCTTTGGCGGCTCGGGGGTTGCTGTCTCGCGCTGGAGCATACCGTTCACGTCCGCGGCGGCGTTCTCAGGCAATTTCGAGCTTCGGTTCTTGTTGCGGCCAAAGAGCTTACGAAGGCCACCTCCGCCAGTCTTCTCTTTATGAAGCTTCTTCGATTTTTTGTCCTTGGTGGTGTTATCCGGTTCTGGCGTAAACATGTTCTCCCGACCATAGTCGTGCGAGTCCTTGGCCGGAGGCAGTGGGGAACTGCGATCGTTTTCGAAACGGTTGGTCGGATGCAACCCATTCGGAGCTTCCGTTTCCTTCTCCGAGGGTCCTCGAGGGTCGTCGTCCTGTCGGCTGGGCGGCAGCGGAGATGGTGAGCGGAACACCGCCGAAGAGTTCATCGCTAATGGGGACGTCAACGGGGACGGCTGCGGCTGCAAAGAAGGAGATTTTTCCGGTACTTCGGGGCGTAGTTCGGCTTCGTTGGTGTGGCCGTTCGAGTCTTCGTTGTAGCCATTGCTCCCATTCCTCTGCATGGTTGAGACGCCAAGGCCACGACCAGTAGCATTGTTTGCCAAGTAAGCCTCCCGAATAGCGTCCTTGTCATACTTGTTTGCCCATTTCATCGCTGGTGATGCCTGGCGCATAATATCGGGCTGAAGAGTCAAGACACTTGTCGTCTTCTCTCTTGCCGACTCATCATTTCTGCCTCGGCGTGCTTGGAGCATCTGTTGCTGCTGCTCCTGCTGCTGGCGCGCCTGTAACTGCGCGGCAGCGGCCTGGATCCGGGCTTGCTGATCGGGACCAATACTCGACTTGCTGAGGTTGGAATCGGCGTTGGTGTTGCCCTTCTCAAGAGCATGCTTACCCGTTGACTTGCGACGGTTCACGCCCTTATTGCGTCTGGTCCAGCTGAAGAAACCCTTTTTCTCAGCAATATATGCGCCTTCCTGGGGTTCAGGGGCTGCTCCGGCCACCATCTCCTCCATGACCAACCATCGGCCACGCTTGATAGAGGTTTCGACAACGGCACATCGGCCGAAAGCTGACTTTCTTTCCGGAGTCTCTTCCGGGGCAAGACTGCTCATCCAAACCCACCAGAAGCTCTCATCCAGATCAAACCGAGCAATGCTCGCCAATTCTCCGGGCTCCAGACGCTCCGATTCCAGTCTCGGGTTGTGGGACTGGGAGCTTCGTTGGCGCGCAGCCGTCTCGATAGGTGGGAGTACCTGGTCGGGGGGTAACAACATATTAGGGGTGTTAGGGTTGTCATCCACGAACCCAGACGAGAGGAAGTCGGCCCAAGATGGCGTAGTCGGCCTACCCAGTCCCATGTTTCCGGACGCAGGTGTGGTTCTAAGGCCGTGGGGCCTGCGCGCAGCGGCTGCCGCTTCATCGTCATCGTCCTCGTCTTCGAGTGCACTGGTGAACCCAATGTCTTCAAATCGTGACCATGATGCGTCCCGCAAGCCTGTGGAGTGCTTTGCGCTGGACACTTGAGATTGGTTGGCCGACGAAATCGCTTTCAGCACTCGGCGACATTCCTCGGTCAGAGCCTTCACGGGGTCCTCGTACTCGGAAAATTCGCGCAAGGCTCGGTCCTCCTCGCGATACTGGAAGTGATTTGCTCGGCGCAGGAGTGCAAAGGGTGTTGGCGAGACAGTGTCGACGATCATGACTACTCTGTAGGTAGAAGATTGCATCAAAGACGGTTTCTGAGGCGGATACTCTGTTTCCTGCAGCAACTTCTGGAGAGACATCGGAAGCATGGAGATTGCGCCCTGAGTCTGCTTGTGGGGGGCTAACGATCGAAGGTATGCAAAGAAAAGATGGCTCGTGGCGTCGGCAGCACTGCGATAGGTTAGTGATGCCAGGTTGCATGTCCAATACTACTCACGTTGCCCAAGCTTTGTATCCGCCTTCAAAGCCGCTGCCGGTGTCCTTCTGCTCGAACGCCCACCATGCAGCCATCCGAGAGATTTTGCGCCCGCCCATACCGTTCATCTTCCCATGGGCGGCAATTGCAGATATCAGATCGAAAAAATCGAAAATGATACTCGACCGAGCGCCGTTATCAACGCTGAGAGGAATGAAAGTCTTGAAGGAGTCTCTCGCCATATTCGAATCTGGACTGGGTGTAAGTCATGACGGCAAGTTGAATGTGATAGTAAGCTCGCTCGTGTAACATACCTTGCTCGCCAACCTTGAAGAGTTCGTACGCATCCCAGCCTACAACACCGCCTGAAAGTCGACTCCAGCACCATTTGACCACGCCGGCGATTACCTGAGAATTGTGTGTTAGCATGCGCAAGTAGAATTGTCTTCGAGGAGATCACACCATTGGTGCTGTCATGCGCAGCTCCTGCGACAACAACTCGCCATGAAGAGGTTGGCCGCCATCGAAGAAATGTCGAATAAAGGTCCGGACAGCACTAGGGTCTGAGGTAGGCCGGAATGGCAACAGAAGAAAAGGGTGGTCAAGTGCTGCATGGAAGCAGGATGTCAGTCGCAACGAGGATGATAAGTCGCATTGAGAGGTGTAGCGTTAGGAGCCGCTGGTTATTATGCAAACATACCTCTTGCCTTCAACTCTTCGGTGCAACGTCTGATCAAGTCCTGTATCTCTTCAGGTTCAACTGTCTGCCTCGTGTAAGCGTCGTCCCATTTTGGCTTCGTAGAGAGCTGATCGGGAGCATCGAAGTTGGACCCCTTCTTGGACTTTTTGTGCGACCCGTCCTTGCTCTTCAGGCGAGAGAAGAGGCTAGGCATGATGTTGGTGGAGAATCGCCTTTGTCGAGGCGATCAATGGTCGGAGCGGGGAAAGGCGCGAGGTGTTCGAGGAGCCCAGGAGGATAAATGGGCAGCAGCAGTTGTGACTGACTACCTTGACAAGCGAAGGGCAGGTCGCAGTAGTATAATGGATCTGAGACAAGGAGAGCCTAACGTTCGCAGTCGGTTTGGAATTTGCGGGGGGTCGCGAAGAGGGACGCGATGGGCGAAGTGTGGTAGAACGAGAGGCTGCGCGTTTGTCGAGTCCAGTTCAATAATACGTGGTTGGAACGGCCCACCTCGCGAGGAATTTCAGTAGGAAATTGCGGTAGCGGGAAATCAGTAGCTGAGGGTATCGGAAAACAACGACTAGGGGGCTAACGAAACGAGGGAAAGTCTCCAGCAAGGGAAAGAATATGAAGAGGAGTCCGGGAGTCGGAGGGGGAGAAGAATGGAGAAAGGTGGTGATGGTGTTGCTTGTGCTTTGGGCATAACTTTGGTCTTGGGCAAGAACCGGAAAGAGAGGCTGCGTCTAGTCCGGAGGTGCTCCTTCTCTTTGCTTTCAGGGGCGAATGAACGACAGCTGGCTATTAATTGGAGAAGGAGGAAATGGTATTATTTGGGAGGGGGTCCCCTGGAGTGCTTGTCCATGTTTTTTTTTTTTTCCCCTTCTCCCCTGCCTTCTTTTTCTTCTTCTTCCTATGCCTGTGAAACGTATCCTCCACCCCCTGCTGGTCTTTTGGAGGTGGATACAGGTACCTTTTGTGTGACGATCACCGCGGCCGGGTACCTGGGGCAATGGTGATGTGACAACCCAATGGGGAATAGCGGCAATGCAATGCGTTAGGGGCTGGCTGTTGCTCTTCTTCTCGGTCCGTGGGACGCTGTGGAAGCTCGTGAATTGGTCGGAGGCTTTTGGCGGCGTCTGATGGGCCGTAAACTCGCTGGCCCGTTGTTTGAGTCTGGGCTTATCAGCCATGGACGGGATTACGGGTGATGCTAGTGGCGTGGCACTCGAGCAACAGGCAATCGGCACCTCAGCTAGGATCTTGGGAGAGTGGAAGAGGCTGAGGGGCACGACAGGCCCTGAAATAAAATTAAATCGCTGGAACGAGCACCCTTGTCCAGTACCACAGGCCACACTCTCTTACTTGAGGGTCAACGCTGACCAGTCTCGCTGGCTTGCGTTGGGCACAATGTGACGGAGGCCTGTCGACTATGTCGACTAAGTCCTGATTCAGATTTTGGTGTTGTCCGTTGGTTGGCTGAGGACCTATTAAGGGGCGGGCACGCTGCGGTGGGTGCCAATTCGTAGTTCACTTACTAGTGACTGAGATCTCAGGCAAGGATGCTAATATTATCGATTTGGGGGAGCGATGCGGCGTCCAGGCGACTCACAATTTCATGGTCTCATAAAGGCGCTGGTAATGAAGAAAGGAGGAAGGCACCAAGGCGAGATAGGAAGACCAGACGATAACGCACAGCTCCTCGGAATACCTAGACGTCGATGTATTCAAGCTGCTAGGTACCTTGGCAATGCAGGATGTGCAATGCCTGCTACTGCGAGTAAGAAAACCTCAGACGAAGAAGACGGTGCCATCGGTCTATCTTCGGTGTCGGCTTCGTCAAAGGGTTCAAAACATCAGACGGACCAGCTTGTACACTGCACACATCCATGCTGCCTGAGGTGGGAGAGGACCCCCCCTGGGCGTGGCACACATACAGTACCTATGTGGTCATAGATTACCCACCCACTCACTCTCTTGAGTTGTCGATCTCATATCAATGCCCGTCGAGAAATCTCAGCCTTTATTGCTCAAGCACATCCCACCCGGTCAAGTACACTATACCTAGCCGGTCATGCCTTGTCCGGCCCATGAATTACTCGAGACATGATGTATCTGTTGCTCTTGCTTGGTGTGGCCAGATGTGGAAGGGGGCGGCTGATACCAAGGTTGATAGGTAGGTCGGGAGGGGCGTTGATCCGATCTCGAGTGACAAATGGAGCCTATACGGATAATAGCAGTAGTATTTACAGTACAGGGAAGAAGGCGTGGTACACCTTGTTGGCCCGCTCCCCCCGCGTATCGTGTGCTTCGCTTTTCCGGAAGGCAATGGAGCCCCTTCCTGAGCAAAGAGGAATGAAGAGAGAGGACTACTACTACTACTACTACTACTACTACCAAACCAAAACCCACCCCAGCATTGGTTTTGTGACATCGCTCCTCCCCCCGTGCGTCGCTAGATACCTACCTACCTGGCGCTCCAATATGGCGGGGTGAACCCTGCTCCCGTCTCGTTTCGGACCTTCTTCGACCTTGCTTGCTTGCCTGCCTACCCGTCTCGCCTACCTCCAGTCCGCGAGACGCAATTTTAGAGAAAGAGTGAGAGAAAGAAGAGAACATCCCGTTTGCTCTCAGCTGTCCAGCCACTAATTACGTGCATGCACCACGGAAATGAATACACAGTAAGTAGTACCCTCCCCGTCTCTCACCTACCATCCTTGTTTGGGTGTCCGAGAAACGTCTCCGTGAGTCGTGCCACTCGGCACTTCTTCACCATAGGTAGAGACACCAATACGTATATTGAGCAGCACTAGCACCTTGCTTTCGGGTGCCATCGGTCGGGACCCAAATATACCCATCATTCGCCAATCGAATACCCATTGGCTAGCTCGATCTTGCCGTCATTGGGCTGAATCCAGGCCATGTATCCAATCCCCATCGCGCCCCTGTCACGACTCACCTCTTCAACGTTGGTATGTCACTGTAACCGAGCGCATGTGTCTCGCGCCATCCCTCGACTGAGGATCGACAAGGCATGACTATGAACACACGTATCCGGCAAGAGTCGTCTCGAACCTGTTGCTCGCTTGGCGACCTCTCCCTCCCGGCGCCCGTCCGCCCGCCCCACCTCAGTCCCAGCGGTCAATAGGACAGCACGGAACCACTCTGCATCATTCGATTGAACTCCAACCGACAAGAGACACAACAAGAGATTGGGATGAAGAAGAAACTCAAGAACAGAGCGCCGTCGGGAGTACTCGGGGGCCCAACGCCGGCCGCTAATAATCCTGCACCGGATTGGGACGCCAAAAGGAAAGTCGGCCGTCCAGTAGAGCCCATCGATCACAGCCATCTATGTGCTTCCTGGCCACCCGATCTGCGCCTCTCGAGACTCCCAGCACCTTAGGTACTCGCCGGCAATACCGATAATAGGCTGAGGATCAACCTGTGTGAAGTCGGTTTTGTTGCGCATGAGTTGGTCGGTACAAGCACATACTACGTATTCCTCGTTGCGACCCCGCCGAGCCGAGGACCCTGTTCGGACAAGTCATTGGCTGTGACCCGTGCGCTTGATCGACGTGCGCTGGCATCCACCTATTTGTAGGGATGGTGCTGTCAAAGCCTAGTGACGGGCAGCATTCTAATCGCTTGCATTGGCCATAACGTACATATCACTTTTTTTTTTTTTTTCCCTTCTTCCAAAATTTAGCAGTCATGTTAATGATGGCCCTCTCTGCGCGGCCAAATGTTTGCTTGCTTGCTTGGCGAGTACAATCGAGGGGGCTGGCAAGGCCATTCGACGGCATATCAGGCTGATGGTAACACTGCTCCCTTGATCCAATCATCGGCGGGGCGCGGCAACGCTCGAGCCTCCAGCTGCTACGTGAGTATTATATCCTGGCACATACGCATGAATTCACCATGGAATGGCCCAAGGACCTTGCTTGCCTATTTGGCTTTGCCCAACAGGCTCTGAGTGGTTGGAACTAGATGCGAAACTCTCCTCTCGGCCTTCTTTAGGAGGAGATTGGTTACACTACTAATTAAGCAATGTCAGAAACGTCCGCTCAGACTCCGCCCAGCAGTCAGCCCAATCATCGGACGATATCTCAGCGCCCCGGCACTAAAGGGAATGAGGGTGCCGACTGTTGTCAGTTGTGTAGCATCCGCTCAAACGGAATGTGTCAGTTGCTAAAATGAACCATTTCGCGCCTCCGATGACACCAGCAGCACTCACCAAAGCTATGGCAGCCGCTGGCAATGCGCTATCTACCAACATCAAGCTCCGGGCATGGCGCTGAGCTCAGCCCAGCCTTGCTCGGATCTGCCAAGACCCTTGGATTCCAACAGATGACATGAGCTGTGGCACTAGATGGGACACCAAGGTCCTTGTGTAGCACCATGCGGTACACTTCGAGTAGCAGCAGAGCTACCTCTGATTTTGTTACAGCGCACTGTACCGAACAGCCTTGCTATGCCCATGCCGGCCGAGTTTATGGAAGCCTTACCGTCACTTTGTTGTTATAACCCTGGAGCGCTGTGTTACGGCTTACCCGGCCGTCATGATCCGCATCGGCGCTGCAGCCGGAGTCGGAAAGCACAATAAAGTGGATCTGCACGGGGGCTCGAACTAATGAAGTAACACACGGACAGCCTGGGTTCAGTACGGTAGATGGACGCACATTGCCTCTCATGATGGTTTGTTGACTCGATTCAGCATGACGCAGGTCAACTCCGTACAACCTGGCCGCGTAACACCACGTCCAACTAATTATGCCGGCCACGTTCCTTGATTTCCTGCGTTCGACGGCGATGCTGACAGACGCAGCCACCTACAGCTTAGATCCTGCGGCTCTCTTTACGACATGGCAGAGTTGACTTGTTGACGAATATATGAGAGGTTTGTTACGACGAGATCTACCCGCATACGTGAATTGTGGAAAACGCAACGAGCAGCGGCGGGACTTTGAAAGTTGTCGAAGCGGGACGAACGATCTCACTCAGCATTGGGGTCCTGGGACGTCCTGACAGGCGATGTACCCGAACGAAGGAACGTGGAGAGCGACATGACGAAGGATGCGTATGCGTATTTTCCGTCAGTAACACTCGTGTGACGTGTTCGAACAGTGTTTGAAACCAAGCCGACGAGTTCAAAATGAGAGCATCGATGATGGTGCATGTCGCAACAGTGTTTACCGTCGCCTTGTTGTCACGGTGGTAGGGTCATCCACGGCATATGTGGAGCAGCGTGCTCGGGATCCAGCTTCTCCTCATCATCGGAGGTTCAACGTGACCAAATAGAGTCTCTGGACGAAAGATAACATGACCAGAGAAATACGCTGAAGGCCCGAAAGACATAGCATCTGCTCACAGAAAGTGTGCCCTTGCTTCGGACTACAGTGGCCGAGAATCGCATCTGGAATCGCCGTTCAAGGAACAGCATCCGGCCTCTGGGTTCGACCTGACCCCCGAACGCCCTCTCCTGCAGTGTAATGTAGAAGAGGGGTTATTAGGTTAAGCGTATCATTGTCACCTCCGTGTACTCGGGCAGGTAGAAACTGATACCGGAATAATGCGGTTTGCCGTAGTGTTCAGAAGCACCCAAGGTATTACGCCTACCGATTATCATGCACTACGGCTGGCAGCCAAATATTGCATGAACCACTGGACCACAAGCATCACTACTACTTCTGAGGCTGAGAGAGCAGAACGAGGCTGGAGTAAGACAGAAAAGGACCAAGAGCCGTGGCTGGGGGGTGGGAACGTGACAGACGCCGGTCGCTGGGGACGTAAGCTTCGATGAGGACCCCAAGGGACTTTGTACGACTGAGAGCGATGAAGGCAAGTATGTGAAGAGAGTAGGAAGGCCGACAAGAGGGGAAATGACAGGGGAAGGAGAGAAGATGACTTCAGACGGAGAGAGAGACAGAGAGAGAGGAGACGGAGCAGTGATTTCTCTCGACTGGCATACAAGTAATCACAATATGACTTGTCTGGACGGGGTCGGGTACCTTTTGATGGCTCCCATCGGTGGACATCAGCCTAGCCGGTTAAAGATGAATGGTCTTGTTACGTACCATTTATCAACATGCGAGATCAACCAATGTAGTCAATTGCATAGTCAACCCAGCATGCGTACAAGCATGTTCTCGCATATACCAGCATCAGGCTGCATCATCTAGTGTTTACAGGTCATCACATCATCCAAGCCAATTCTAGCAGGTGATCAGAATCAAGTGGCGGTCTTCCCATGTCATTCCAAGCAAATATACCAGACCAAACTCCGGGCCGGTTTCCTTCCCTCTCATGTATTCATTAAGCCTTGTCGTCTTTGGGCGAATCTCCTTCGGCAGAGCCCTTGGGCGAGGTCTTGGACTCCTTCTCCTCCGTCTCAGCCTTTTCGACCTCGCCGTCCTTGTCAATCTCGACCTTCTTGGTCGCGCTCAGGTCCCAGTCGATCTCAGCGCCAGCGCCATACCGGGTTACCAGCCACTCGTTAGCCTTTTTGAAGTGACCGCAGTCGAAGAAGCCCCTGGATGCGCTGAGCGGGCTGGGGTGCACACTCTTGAGGACCAAGTGCTTCTTGGTGTCCACCTTGAATACGCGCTTGCCGGCGGGGGTGCCCCAGGCCATGAAGACAACGCCGCGGGTTCTTTGAGAGGCGACGAGGTCGATGACCTTTTGGGTAAAGCGTTCCCAGCCGCGGTTCGCATGCGAGTTGGCCTCGTGGGCGCGCACCGTCAGGCACGTGTTGAGGAGGAGGACGCCGCGGTCTGCCCAGGGGGTCAGGAGGCCGCCCTTATTGGGAGGCGGGGAGAAGGTGGGGTAGTCTTTCTTAAGGGCGATATACATGTTCTTCAGCGAGGGCGGCGCCGGAGTCGGGGGGCGAACGGAGAAGGCGAGGCCGTGGGCCTGGTTGTGATTGTGGTAGGGGTCTTGGCCGAGGATGACGACCTTGACGGTGTTGAACGGGCAATGGCGGGACCTGCGCTCTTGGTTAGGGCTGGTTGTGCCAAAGCCATGGGCCACTGAAGGATCAGGAAATATACCAAGAGTACACGTCCTCCTTTGGAGGAAACCACTTCTTCCCAGCATCTGATTCCCGGTTCAGGAAGCGCTTGAGATCAAGGAACTCCTTGCTGGTGACCTCGTCCTTGAGAAGTGCCAGCCAGCTCTCGTGCAGAGTGTCTATCTCGAGCTGCAGCAACTCCTTCTGCTCGGCCGTTAGGCCGGCAATCCATTTGGCCTTATCAAATTTGGCGGCGGGCGACGTCTCCAGAGCGCCCGCACCACTCGCCTTGGCCGCCGGCTTCGGGGCCCCGAAAAATGACATGATACTGCCATCTTGCTTGGGCTTCTTGTTGTCCGCGGCAGACAGCGTACCGGCCTTGCGTTTGAGCGTCGACATTTTTACGTGTGTAGAGGAGTAGGGGCACGAGGTCTGCCCGGAGAGGGATCAGAGGGAGTTGATGACGTAGAATAACAGCCTTCGACCTAGCCGAAGGCGGACGGAGTGGGCTGCGAAATTGGCGAGGCGTAAACGCAAAGGCTCGATTATATCATGGACTTGGGGAAGAATCGGTACAATAGGTCATCAATGGAAACTATCAGTCTAGTTCAATGAGAAGCAAAACGGAACAAAAGTGAAGAGGAGAGAGGGAGAGATGTGATGTGGATATGGGTGTGAATGTGGGGGAAAGGAAGTTGGATTCCTCGAAGCATGTAATCGAGATTTCTCAGCCTTGGTTTAAAGGGTGAAATGCCGGCCTGCGGACCGTCGCGTGGTGACGCGCTACCGGCGAAAGAAAAAAGTAATTAACGCGTCCTGGCGGGTTTAAGTGGTTGGTAGCCTGTAGGGGACGGAAAGCGGTCTAGGAGCTGCAGCCCTGCAGCGGCCCCGGCGACTTGGTGAGAAGTGGATTGCCCCCTGAGATCCCGCCATTTGTCCCCCACTGTTAGGACGAAACGAGATGGTGACTTCAAACCCTCTAGGCGCGCTTCCTCGTTCATACATAATTGGTCACTGCGTCTTGTCAGCGCACATCTTCCGGGTCGTCTTGCATCTTGGTTCGTCTCCAGAGTTCAGAAATCGAAATGTCAAGGAAGTCACTGTGGGGGGTGGGGGGGTGGTATCATTACACTTTAACTACATAGGTATACACTTTTTTGGTTTCGCCATGTCTAACCCAAACCACTACATTGTGCCTTTTGACGTGCTAACTCCAGGCCCTGGTCTCTTCCCACTCGTTAATAACAGCCCGCTCAACGCCCAGTAATGCTTGGAATAAAAAAAGACTCGCGATGCTTCGGTATTAGTCTCTATCTCCTCTGGCCTTCTCGTTCACGCTCCTGAACGTCCGCTTCCCGACCTCGTAGCTGCTGATCATGATGGCGCAGGCTGGAGCAACTTTCAGAGTCCGGGGGATCCATCCTTTCCACAGGCCCCCGATTCCTTCGGTCGTAAATATGTGCCAAAGCAAGCGCACCATAGAGCCTTGCTCAGCTGCAGCCGCCTTGGTAGCGTTAGCTCCGGCCGCCTGACGCGGTGAGTCACGGTAGACCTGCGTCCTGGTTTTGCCCACGTCGAACGGCATCGTCACTATCGATGCGAAACCGCCGGATACGGCACCGGCAATGAAGCTGTCCGTCAATGTTTCCGCGTGATTCTCTCGACTCTGAGATCGGCGCCGCACCTGTTGCCGCGAGCCTCTAGTTTCTAGAGTCCGACCGCGGCGGGTCTCTCGCATATCTGTCAGCTTGCCGCGGATCGTCTCGTATCCCCACCAGTACAGGCCCGAGAAGGGCACATCCCTCCATAAAGTCAAGGTCAGCCCCCTCCACAACGAAGTGTAGCCACTGCTGTTGACCATCTCCTGTATGCCTCGGAATGTGTTCGCAAGATGACCGGTTGTTGAATTGCCGGTCGATGCTTGCATCCTCGTGCGGAACAGTTCGATCGGACTAACGGCGGCTGCGGCCAGGACCCGAGCTCCAGCGCCAGCAACCAGTGGGGCAGTATCTTCGTTGAGCTTCTGGGCGATGGGACTCTTGCTGTTGTATCGCAGCCAGTCGTAGCCAGTGAAGTAGATGATGTTTCCAGGGATTGTCATCAGCAAAGTCGGGGAAAGACCTCTCCATAAGCTAGTGAACCCCTCATTCCGCGCAATCTTCCTCAGCCCGTCCATGGTCGAGCTGATTGTCTTGCGTTCAACCTCTGCGACGGCGCAATCGGTGGCCGCGCCGGCCGCGACGCCCTCTGCAGCTCTCGGCATTGCGATGCATAGTTCAGAGCTATTGTTCATGAAGAACACTTCTCGACAGCACGCGGTAACTCCGAGGTTCGGCGTGTTGAAAGTTTTCAGATTGTTGGTCGTCATAGCAAGTCGCGAGAAATCTACCGTAGGCGGCGTGACGTTCTGGGATTGCCATCGGATTCGGACAACATCGAGCGGTGTCACTGGGCGAGCGTGTTAGCAATGGCAGACGGGCCGAGGCGCAGAAGACGGTCTCACCTAAAAGCGATGTTAAAAGACTGCCCGACATGGCCGAGATCATTTTCTGCGACGCCGTAATATCATCGTCGCTTCCTCCGCCGCCATCATTCCGGGGCGGGGCTATGCGCGCCATCGGAAAAGAGTCATCGGGATCGAATATGTCGTGGTCCTGGCCAACGGTGGCCTGGTGAATTGCGTTCATTGCGGACCAGCTTGCATGGTCGGAGAGGTCGGAGCTAGGAAAAGATGTTGCAGTCATCTGCTGTTTAGTGCAACGAGGGAAGTTGCGGATGACGGTTGGTAGGTGAGGGGAAAAGCAAGCTTTCACGTGCCTTTTGTTCCTGCTCGGAAGAGGGAGGCGAGAGAGAGAGAGAGAGTGTGTGTGTGTGTGTGTGTATGCGTGTGTGAAGTTGACCTTACCCAGTTCGCCAAAGTCGGCTCGTCATGACTGCGAAATCGGGTGCGCGCTCCGACATCTGGTCCTCCCCCAAAATTTTGCCGGAGATAATGAAATGACTGGGTGGCGCGCGCCAGGGCGCCTCGCTGGCCGAGCCGAGCTCAGAACCGTTTGGGTGATGTCACGGACCGAGCGCCCGTCCCAATTGGTTGGTCCTGGTGTGGCCCCCCCAAATGTCACCGATAAACGCCGGTGGGGACCTTGCCGAGTGACTACACCTCGGCGTGCTCTGCTTACAACGCAAGGTCGATGATGAGTGGTCGGTTTCGACTACATCTCATCTCGCAGATTCACTTTTACAAGCGAGCATCAAGAACTCCGAAATCACCACTCGAAACTAGCACTCTGGTAAATCTCGAGGTTCTCTCTCACCCATGTCGCTCTCACGGCATTGACGGCCCTCTACAGCTCAGTATTCCCTGAGCATCGTGTCCGTCTCGCAACTATGGCAGACCAGCCGCCGCCGCTCGATTCCGAGCTGGAGTCGTTTCGGCAACAATGGCGCTCGGAACTCAAGACGAAAAAGACAGTCCTAGAACCCCAGACTTCACAAACCAAAAAGAAGGCCCCGTCATTCTCCAAATCATCCGTCCTGGTGGAGAGCTCAAGGGCCGTGGTGCCCAAGAAACCCCAAGTAGAAGAAGATGAGGAATATGCCCGCTCCCTGGTATTTGATGAGCCGGTACCTTCACACTCACCTTCCGCGTCTGCTCTGGAGGAACACGCACCCAGTCAGGCTGAGGAGCTAGTATCGGCCTTGGATCACTTTGAGGCAGCTGTGGAGAAGGAGGCGATCGGAAGCTTGGGCGATAGTCTGAAGCTGTACCGCAAAGCTTTCAGGGTCAGTATTCCTCTTTTCCATCTTCGATGGGACATGAAGCTAACCCCGGATTGAAGATGGACAGCCGGGTGGATTTGGCATACAGAAAGAAGCACTTTCCTCCAGCCGCCACAAAACCGGCTCTGCCGTCGGCGTCAAGCGCACCAATTGTAGCGGGGAAGCTGCCAGAGACGCAGCAGCAGACGATGAGCGAGCTTATCGCCAGCTTTTCCGGGCTTTCCGTGGCCGCAGCGCCTCCGCCGGTGGAGGGAGATCCGGCGCCTCCCTGCCCAATCGCAGGAATGCCCCAAGAGATTCTGGTCCACATCTTCAAAAGCGTGGCCGTCCTCGACGTCGGGGACTTTGTGCGCCTTTCTTTGGTGTGCAAACGGTTTGCCTACATTGTCGCCACCGAACAGCAGATCTGGCGGCGCATCTGTCTTGGCCCGGAGTTTGGTTTCGCTGGAATGCATTACCACTGGCAAAGGGGCGTCTTCTGGGAGCCTCTGGAGCAAGAGGAAGACACGGGAGACCTGGAGTACGTCAGCATGGATGAGCTTGCACAGCGCCGTAGGGAAGAGAGTGAGGCCACGACGTTGGCGCTGCTGCCGGAGATCTATTCGTCTTCATGGCAGAGCATGTTCAGGCACCGGCCGAGGATCCGGTTCAACGGCTGCTACATCAGCACCGTCAACTACATCCGCCCCGGCCAGGCAGACGCGAACCAGATCACCTGGAACACCCCTGTGCATATCGTCACGTACTACCGGTACCTACGCTTCTTCCGCGACGGCACCGTCATCAGCCTTCTCACCACCGACGAGCCCGCCAGCGTCGTGCACTACATGACCCGCGATCTGCTCAAGCAGCACCGCGGCGGCGGCGCGGCCCACCTGCCGTCCCTCGTCATGCAGTACGGCCTCCGCGGGCGGTGGCGGATGTCCTCTGCGCTGGACCACCCGGACGTGCCCCTTGGTGAGACCGAGAACGATCTATTTATCGAGACGGAGGGGGTCGGGGCAAAGTACACGTACAGGATGCATTTAGAGGTGCGGAGCGCCGGGAGCAAGGGCGCACGGAACACCAAGCTCATGTGGAAGAGTTTCTATAGCTACAACAAGGTGACGGACGACCTGGGCGAGTTCGGGCTGAAGAACAGCAAGTCCTTCTTTTTCAGCAGAGTTAAGAGTTACGGCATTGGGGAGTGAGTCCTCGCTCGCGCAGTAGACGAATGAAGCTCCAAGTTAAAGCTGGGCTGTTCATTTTCCGCAACTTGTGGAAATACCATTCCTGCTACAACGTATATCCGCAGCATCTTACAAATTATCCTCTTCGCAACACCCTCCCACCCTCACGATGGTCTCGCACTGTGTTCCGGATCTTGGCCTACCCATCGCTCCCCAGCGCCACCGGCAACGGCACCTTCAGCTCGGTCGTAATTCCGCTCCCATCGCCTGACGAGCTCCACGGTTCGCACGACCGCCTTCATCGAGTCCTCCGTCTCCGTCCTCTAGATCGCCTCAGCTCTGGCCTTCGCCCCGGCGTGGCCCGTACACCCGGACACGTGGGGCCGGATCGACGCCATCTTGTGGAACGCCTGGGTGCGGAACTAGCCCGCCTCCATGATGAGAACCTTGAGACCGGGGGTGAGGGCCTCGACATGTATCGATGGGTCTTGACGGCGTTCTTGGGGTTGCCTGTTCGAGCGAGTCGCTGCTTCGCCGGGATTTGGCGAGGGCGCTCTGGGGCTCGGGAGGCTCGCCTTCCAGCGCGAACTTGCTCATGCAGGACGGCTCTCTCCCTGAACAGGCCCTACGCGTTGTTCATCTCGATTCGAACCTCGGTCTCAGGCGCCGCGACGTCGAGCTACATGATACAAACCCGGGTGTCCCGCAAGCGCACCATTCTTACATCAGCACGCCCGGTTCGTGGCGATGACGTTGTCTTCCTTAACTGTCAGCTTCCTCGTCAGCCCTTTGGAATCTTTGATCCTACCGTATGTCACCCACATGAGCCAGTCAGCGTCTGCAAATTCATCGATCGAGCTTCATATCATAGACTTACACGTCGCGCCGACGACTGCTGGGCGGGAGGGACATCGGACTGAACTTACCATACTGCGGGAGATCTGGATAAACGTAGGTTTTGGGTTTCAGTCTAGTTATTAGTTCAGGAGGGGATTTGTTGTACACATTGTCTGCAAGATCGCCTTGCTTCCTTTTTGCATGTTGGGGAAAGCTGGCAAGTGTTACTCGCTTAAAATGATGTGTACCCGTGAATCTTCCTTGGGAGGATGAACGGGACGACGCAGAGCGCACGAAGTAGCTGGTCTTTCATGTAAACCCGGCTAGACGTTTTTTTTTGCTGTTGCCTTTGATTCTTATTGATCATACATTACGGCCCATGAGTGGACGTGGAAGGTAAATGTGACTTGTGAAATGTGTCAGACAGAATGCTAAATCGCTACATTGATGGCAAAACGCCCCGACACCTCGCAGAATGCTGGTGTTGTTGTTCCCTTGCTTTCCCGCTTTGCGGGTCCCTTATCCCAAGTGATGTGAATAGATAGATATAAAAAGTACACCATGTGTTTACGATGTCTTGACAAAGCAAGAAAATATCATGTTAAGCAAATAGCGATGATGGATGCGCCTAAATGCAATGATGAATGCTCAGAAGTGGCCCGGGGCATCAATGCTAGACCTCTCTGTAGAAGAAGAGTGCTGTGAAGATCACAACATGGCACTCACAGGTTGGTGTGGCGTCGTGAAACTGTTCAGATGTGACAGCAGGAATATGACTGACAGGGCGGTTAAGATCAGACCTGCCCGTCTCACCGTGGCGTCACCCTCTTTCCGTCCAGGAACTTGGGGCTTCTGCTGTCGTAGTAAATATTGGGAACCTCCTGCTGTCGTCGCGCCTCATATATCAGACGCTCTTCTTCGTCGAGAGAGAAGGCTTTCTTCAACCAGCCAAAGGCGCTGCGCTTCTTTTTGAGTCGTTTCTCTCCACTGGCCGTCATTTTCGAGTCGTATGTCATTGTGGTGACTGTGCTCAGCATACTTGCGCCCCCAAGACGAGACGGCGCATTTCTCTGGTGTGCGGAATGGTACCCAGGGTGACTTTCGTATGGCGACCTAGGCTGCGCACCCGCAGTGAGTGGCCTCTGTTGTAGCGGAGAGTGAGGACTTGCTTGTACAGGGCGGTAGTATTGATGCTCGGACCGCGGAGAAGGTAGCACAGGTGGCAATACCGGGGGAGAAAGCTCATTGGTCGTGGGATAACGCGGCCGTTGTTCAACATCCGATCCATAAGCCGAATCCGGGGCCTGGTACTCTTGAGAAGATTCTTGCCTAGTATGGGGAAGATCTCTCGCTGGCGGCGGAATCAGGATGGACTCGGGTGGAGTCGTCTTCAACGAGACACGTTGCCGAAGCGAGGTCCTCTTTGACAGCATGAGCGCTTCTGGCTGGGGCTGGTTTTTGTCTGATTCTGCCGTGGTAGGTGACGGGATAGGCTCCGGGGGTTGCGGGGTATACGTTCGTGGCTGGAGGATGTAAAGCGAGGCATCATCCAGGGTCACCTCCACCTCTACATCACTCATAGGCTCCGACACAGGTCCATCGGGCGCTTCCAATGTCAACCTTGGTGTGGTCGGGTGTGCACTCCCACTGGTGCTGCGCATAGTATTGCTTGTGCGCGTGCTACCATGTGAGTGCGTGGTTCCGTGGGAATGCGATGACTTTTGTGAGTTTGAAGTGCTCTGGGAGCGTGTGGTATGAAATGAGTGCGTCGTCTTGTTCGAGTATGACGTTTGATGTGATTCAAATGACTGCTGGCTTGGAGAAGCGGCCGGTGATGGTCTCTGCAGCGGCATATCAAAGTCAAAAGACGTGGCGCATGAGCTGACGCTGTATGCGCGTAGGGTTGACCGCCTCACAGCCCTGGAGGAAGGGGGCGAGGACGGCGGAGAGTTGAGCGCGGCTTCTTCAGTTCGAGCACCTTGTAAAGGTAAGGTGAAGGGGGGAATACTGGCCTGCAATCTTGTCAGCATCGCGCAAGCGATGACACGCGAGGCTTTGACTCACCCAGGTTCTCCGACTTACTTCGCCGGCCTTATTACTCATTTCTGCCACCATTATCCCAAGCTTGGTGACCAGAGAGTTCAGCTCCTTGCCACGAGTCTGCAACTCCACGAACGCGTTGTACCAGCCCTCGGTGTTGCCCTTCATGGCAGTGTAAATGTCAACAACGTCTGAGCGATCTTGACGCCAAGTGCCCGCATTTTGGTGACCCAGGTAAATGGCGAACTCCTTGGTTGCGGCCAAGCCCTGCTGCACATCGTTGTCGTACTGTTGGAGCTGGACGTTGGTGCGGGCCACGATGTGCTCAATCTTCTCGTTTCCTTGAACGATCTCGAGTCGAAATTTACGATCTTCCAGCATTTTTTCAAAGGCGTTTATGTTCTCCATGGGCAGACGGAGATATTCGATCCTCTCCTTGAGATCCTTGGTCGCCTGATCAAAGTCTTCCATGACCACTTCAAGAAACTCGTCCACCTCGTCGATATGTCCCTGCAAGATGCTAACAACCTGAGCCGCGCTATTGGCCATGCCATTCAGCAGCAAGTACACACCGAAGGATATCTGAGCCATAAGTTTTTGTAGCTCATGCTCTCGCTGGCCAGGCCGATATCGCCAACGCATATCGGGCAGATCGTCATCGCGCTCCTGACTGATGAGCTCCTCGCGACGGCCCTTTGCGTCGGCAAATTTGAGCTTTGGCTTGTCGGATGGGTTACCATCAGCGACCTCGAGAAACGACTCGGCAAAGGCTGCTTGCATTGACGGAATGGGATGGCGAGGGACTTTGGGACCGCCCGGTGTTGGGGATTCGGGGTTGGTTCGGCGTATGCTGCGTTCTGGGATCCGGGGCCCGGTTGCCGTGGTGGGCGTCCGCTGAGCATCCTCATCGCTCTCATAGATGGGTGAAGGATGGCTGTCTGACGGAGGTAAGAGAACAACGGGGAGACCTAGGCTCAAGTCGAGGCTATTGCTGGCCCCGAAGGACATGCGCGGAAAGCCGGTCGATGTAGCCATGGCGTACAGGAACTGCGTAGCGGGAGCTATCGACGAGCGGCAGAAAGCATTGGTGTGCGACGACTGTCACAGCCGCTCGACGAAGCGGGCGTATCGGAGGATAATCGGTATCGTAGGATGTGGCAGGGCGAGGAGCCAAGCTGGTGGCGCGCAATGTAGGACGCTGTGCGACGCGGGCGCTTAGGGAGAACCGGTTGTCGGTCGGAGACGAGGAATAGAGGTCGAGGTTGGGCAAAGAGGCAGCCGCGCGAGAGTTAGAAAAGAAGGCTGATGTTCAGCAGTCGCACATAGACATGACAGGCAGGATAGCCCCTGGTTGGTGAGGGGGCTGAGAAGGAGAGGAGCGAGTAAGAATAGATCCGGGGTCGAGTCGTCGTAGTGGTAGAAGAAGGGTGGGTGAGAGCGAACAAGGAGGTAAGGCTAGAGCAGGCAAGGTATAGAGTATAGTGCGAGGTGGGATGTATTAGTATTACGGCCTAGGTTGGTTGAGACTAGGAAGCGAAAAGATGAAGAATTGCAAGGGTCAAGCGATGGACGAGGGGGGGGGGGGGAGCGGAGGCTTAGTTTTGGGTGACACTTGCGGGGAGGGCAGAAGAGAGCATTCCAGACGAGGCTCGACCGGCCCCAACGGCAAAGACGCGTCGACGACAGCAATGAGAGAAGGGGGGGGGGGGGGGGGGGGGGAGAAAAAAGAAGAAAAAAAGGGAGGGAAAAAAGGGCGAGGTGAGCGAGAGAGATGTACAGTGAGGTCGGAGTTCTTGGGGATGTTTGGAAAATGAAAAGGGCTTCCAGTTGAGGTTGAAGAAAAAGCGCAAAGGAAATAATAGAGCAAAGAAAGAAGCTGCTCTCTGGCTGGAATATGGATAGAGAGGAGGGATGCCCTGGACAGCAACGCCAAACCCTAGGTTGAATGAGAGAGTGGGTGAATGGCTCGAATGCTGGGGAGTAAGGTACACTAAGGCAAGACCGACCAGGGCAGGTAGTGGTGGTGGTGGGAAAGGAAAAAGGAAAAGAGCAATGTACATATCTTTTGACGCTACTGTACGGATACCGAGGAGTGTATCCGTCATGGGGAGACTGCCTAAAGTGGTGGTGCAAGGTACGGAGCGAGGCCAGTTCAGGTACGGATACATGAGCTCAGGTATCCCTACCCGAGATGGACACGATCTCAGGAGGGCAGATCAGATACCACATACCTAAGCTACTACGGATACTTATGTATGGACACTAGCTAGGTATACAGTAGGTGCACTCTAAACCTGTGAGACAAGGTACCGTAGTTACCACAATTCCCGGTACCCGTCTGTAAGGTTATCTATCCATCTAGAGCCCTCCATTCTGGCTTGGCGTCAACCTGTCGCTTATGGCCATCACCAGGGCTTCGACATGCGACGAGAGAGAGAGAGAAAGAGAAAGAGAAAGAGGACATCAAGTGCTGCTGTGTACCTATGAATATCGACCTACCGGTAGTGCTGTTGGTTGGCACTGGCACGTACATTTCCTGATGTTTGTGCGTGGGAGATACCTGCCTACCTCAGGTACTTGCTGTCACATGTATCTGTACTTGACTGTTTCAACCACCGCTGTAACGGCGGGGGGCCAGCTAAGAAAGAGACGAACGGGGGGACGATCGCTTCGCCGTGCTCCCTTTCCCCTCCTCCCGGGAACACGTCCTTGCGTGTCCCATCCGCGCGCGGCCTTTGTTGGTTGTCTTTGTCATATTGTTTCTTTGTGCAACTTCCCATTACTGTCCCTTGGGTTTATTTCCCTTCTTTTCGCTTCTCCTCTGGTCGCCCATAGCTCGCTCATCTGGACAACCAGCCCAGCGCACACGGGATTCGCCATCTTGGGTAGCCATTCCAATCAGCTAATCTCCCTCTCCTGGCAATCGCATCACTCGTCTACCTACACTACCTCCTTCTAAGGCAGTAGTGTACTAGTAGGCGCCTCCATTTAACCCCCCGGCGAGCCGAGGAGGGTGGAACCTAGCAACGCCCGCCCACCGCCTCCTTGGAGAGAGACTAGAGACTTCAACATGCACCACCACCATCGAGTATTCCCCTTCACCCCATGTCGCCAGTCCCCTTTTCGCACTTAGTCTTCTTTTGGCTCCAACCCAAACAAACCCCTGAACAGAACGAGTCCCATACCACCACTTGGCCGCAGGGTCCCTCGGCCCAGAACCCCAGACCAACTTTGATGAGTCTCACCTCGCTCATTCTCAGTTGCCCATGCAGTGGCTTTGGACTTCGGCATCCATGACATACGGTGGCAGGACTTCCTGAACCTGGAACTACATGTCACGTCGCAGCAGCGTTGCATTTTGCATTCTGACGGGGTTTGGTATACCCCCGCTTAGGCGCAGACTCAGGTTCAGGGATCGCGGATGCTGTCACGATGCGCGCAGCGCAACGAAGCACGCCAAAAACCACCAACTTCCGCGGTGTGATCGCCTTATTGTGGCCGACCTACTCCGTATACCGGCCCCGTTCGTCGTCTGCCCCCCATCCCGGATGTTGGGCTGCCAAGCTTACAACGATAAGGATAAGGCGATGGTACTCCGTACAGACAGAGTAAAGTACAACGACATGCTTCCGGCTCTACTAGGCACTGACTCCTGTCACCAAATACTAAACACTATACGGCGGTGTCTGCAGATGCTGTGGCTGCCACTCTCCCGTCCAGTGAAGGAAAAAGGAAGAGGGAAAAGGAAGTAAACCAAATGAATGCTCGTCCACTTCTCGTTCTATCCCTTGCCTTACATCTGCTGCCGGTCTAGGCACTCGCATGTCTGGGACACCATCGCCGCGCTGCTGCCATTGTTGCCGCCTGCGCCGATGAGATTCCTGTGGAAGGCATGTCTAGCTTTCTACAGACGTGGAGGGAAAGGTATCCGTCTAGTGTATCTGTACCAAGGTACCTAGGTAGGTAGGTATTGCACCGACACAAACACATACACACACACTAGCACAGTTTACCTAGGTACGCACATTGTATTTGGCAGGCCGGCAACCAGCGCGAACCCGTAACACATGGCCATCGAGTTGCGATTCATGCGTGCCATGTTCACTGTGAGAAACTGACCTGCCGCCATTGACCCAGTTGTCACGCGCTGCATTTCGTAAGCCACCAAGCACTGCAACATTTGCACCTGGAGACGCAGCCCACAGCACCCGTCCAAAAAAAGAAGAAAAAAATGAAAAGAAAAAAAAAAGACTATTTGCTTGGTGCAGGGACGAGGCCCAATGGGGATTGAACCCCTGCGGATGGCAGCCAGTCTGGGACTCGGTCTCGTTGCGCCCCTCCTCATTCGTCCTCCTTTCGTAAGCTGATGTGCATGCATGCTTTGGGGGCAGAGGTTATTGTCGTCGTCGTCACCCGTCCTCTACCCCATTCCAGTAAGCATCATCCGGCCAATTAATACTTCGACCCCATGTGACCGGATCAAAAGGCAACAGGGGCACTTGATCGGGCCTTAAGGTGCGAGAGCCCGCCCCTCTCTCCCTGTCTCTTGATCTACCTTCTATGTAGATATCACATATAGTACCTAGGTACTCTGTACGCAAATCGACTTTAACGCCGTCGTGCTCCGCTCGACCTGCCATTGGGTGTCCATGTGGAATGGCATGTGACTCCTCTCTGCAACCTTGCTCTTGAAGAGGCGCCTTTTCTTTTTCTTCTTTTGACGGTTGAAAAAGATAAGATAAAATAAAAATAGGGTCTGAGGAACCTGGCGTCGTATTTGCGCGAGGAATCAGACAAGCTGATATTGTCCCCCCCCTGTCAACCCGAGAGTACCGTGCACACTGGTCTATGCAGAGTCCAGCAGACAGTGGATTCAGGTGATAACACAACTATCTTAGAGGCAAAAGGGATGGTCTTGGCCCATCCCGACCCGGAGCGCAGCGTAGGAAGTAGGGTGGGTTAGACCATTCCAACCCTCCCCGGCGGAGCCGTTTTGGAATTAAAAAAATCTAAGAAAACTGGACTTGAACTGGATTTGAACCTACAGCCTTTAGGATATAAGGTTTATTGCTGTTATCGCTGGTATCGTGCACGGTACTCTCGGGTTGACAGGGGGGGGGACACTACCGTATCCTCTCATCAAACACGAAGTCCGCACAGGCCACAGGCTGCTGGAAAGGGGTAAGCGGGCTGGCAGAAACAGGGATCTAGATGTGGCAAATGCAGGAATTCATTTACGTCAGCAGCAGGTAGGTGGCAAGGGTTAGGGTTATATGGGTGGGTGTGTGTGTAGGTAGGTTGACCGCCTGTTATAATGGGACTAGCGTATGGCCTGTGCGGACTTCGTGTTTGATGAGAGGATACGGTATCAGCTTGTCTGTAGACTCTATTTGCGCTGGCTGCCTTTTGCCCAGCCCAGTCCAGTCCAGCCTACCTACGGTGTAGGTAGCTCCACAGGCAAGCAAAACACGCAGATAGAAGCAAACCACTGTCCAGCGAGGTTCACATTTGACCTCTGTGCGGTGAGGGCCATTAGTACAACCAAGAAAGCGTTGTAATTGGCTCTGCTTCTTATCACCAGATTGCCCCTCCGAATCGTCCTACATCATCCGCCCAGGACTGCACTGCACGCGTCGCCGAGCGGCAACTACATTGGCAATTCCTCAACTGCTACATTATCCAAGGTGCATCTTTTATTACAACGGCATCTACACTACTGCACACATATGTATGCCCCGCCAGTGGGAGTGGCAGCTGCCGACGTGCCTAGTCTCCAACCTCACGGCCTCTGGTGAAGCGGCGAGGCTACGCCTCCTGACTCTCAAACCGCCGACCAATTCGCTTCGCGACGCTCACCGTCTCTTTGTCGCTGCTTGACACGAGATCGCATCGACGGCTCGCTTCTCCCGCCTCATTTGCAATTGTGGACACAGGCTCACTGTCCCGATCGATCGGTCTCATCTCCCGTTCAGAGCCCGCTTGCTCCCTTTGGCCGATCCCCTGGGGGGACCTTATGTATTGATGAAATGGCACATTTGGCGTCCACACCGACCAGTTTGGGCTCACGGCCCCCCGTCCCCCCCAAGCTTCATCGGCCGCCGTTTAGGATTGGTCACGACATCCCTGACGTGTGGCTGTACCGGGGGGGAAAAAGATGAGAAGAGACGAGGAATCAGAGACAGAGACGAGATGAACGGACGAGCCCCGTTGAGTTCGTTCGAAAACCCCTAGCGCTAAACATAAACCTCGTCTGTGCTGGCAGCCGTTCCAACTACGAAAGATGAAAATTTTACCTAGGTAGCGCTCCAGAACTCCATCCAACAAAGAGAAGCTTCACTCTCCGAGGAGCTGGGGCTGTCAATCTCAGCCTTGATAAGTTGTTGTCCTCCCCCCCGTCCAGGCCTATCACAAGCGAAGAGCGGTGGCTGCTGTGCGGCCCATTGTGGCTCATAGAAACCAATGAATGGCCCAAACCGAGTCAGGTCAAGGCTTCTTCTTAATTGATGACTGATGCTGCCTGCTTCTGGCAATAGCCAATATTAGGTCGACGGAATATTGGTCCATTCGATGATTACCAGCCCACATCTCAAAAAAGACGAGTAAGTACTACGTATACACTAGTTTAATACGACATAGGAAGATGGGCGATGGGGGCCCTTTTCCAAGACGACGAGCATGACGACGCGAGATGGACCACATTCTGCAGGGCCTGGGTGGGACTTGCACGATGCTGCTTCCGTGTTGCCGTGGCCAAGGTGTTACTCACTTGTCAATAATATGGCTACACTGTGGCTCCTCCGGTCTCCATCCAGGATTGATTGCTTCTTTGCTGGGTTCCCCCACCAAGGGTCGGCGAGTGGTGACCACATTGGTGTCGCAAGCGCGGAAATGACGGGCACCCACGATTGAGCCGTTTTTACACAACAAGCGCGGGCTGCAAGGCAATTGAATTGGTTCCCTTGTGGAAGGCACTCTTGGCCCTGGACAAGTTCTTGATCGACGGCCGGATCATCTGGTGGATTCATCTACAATCTGCTTATATCCAGTTGCGAAGAAACCCTCTCTGCCTCGCCTGCTCCTGCATGAATGAGCTTCACCCCGCAACACGCGCGTCTCTAGGTACCGAGGGAATGGCAAAGGCGTGACGAGTTGCATGAGAGGCCAGAGGGATTTCAAGCCATTCCAAGCCACAATGGCTTGGATATGCCTCAGCCTTGGTATCTCACACTTCTTTCCAGCGTAGGTAGCTGGCGAACGGGTGGCTAGCTGCATACCCACTCCCCTCCTTGACCAAGTTGGCGCTGGCTGTTGGTACTGGATGAGAGACGCGACTAATCTTTCAAGCCAAAATTAGCCACACCTAGCGTTCATCATGGCTCATCCTCCTCCATCCTACAGGCGCCAGCCATGCATGCAGCGCGGTAGCACAGTCAAGAGCCCATGTGTATCCGTACACATCCAGAATGGCGAGTAGACGCGATCCTGCAAAGATGAGGAGGAGTACCTGTAGACAAGTTCGTGACCCTCGGCGTCCCTCACCTTGCCCCTCCCCCCTTTTCTTCTTTTTCTTCTTTTGTTCTTTCCATTCATTTTTATTTTTTAGTCAGTATCGTCCTGCCCCGTACCTCCCCGCCCCGCATCATCTCCGGCTAACTGCAGCAACGGTCAAGACTCTCTTTAAGGAACACGTCCCTGGACCCAGAAAAACAAGAGGCCACTTCACTTTCTCCAGAGGCCGCTGAATCCCTCACCGTGTCGTCGCAATCCGTGCCCACCCAATCAATCATCTCGGATTACTTACTTACGCATTGAGCGTTACAGCATTTACCGTTGACCCCAGCTCCGTCTCTGCTGGACCCCCCACGTGTGCAGCTTCAAGGCCATATATGCATTCACAAGCCACATTCGGCAGGTGGTAACACATATCGCAGCGACCACAGCCCAGCACCATCATTCTCAGGATCGGAACCAGGCCACCCCAGCAGCGACGTGATTGCGCTTGTCGGGCCAGCCGCGCTCACCCCTGCAACCCAACGACCCATGCCGTAAGCCAAGCCACCGCCCCTTTCAAATCCCTCCCTCTCAGGTTCGTTGTTCGTTCTCGAAATTGCCCGCAGTTCTGGCTCAACTCCAAAATTCCATCATCACAAAGAACAAGAAAATTCAAGGTACCAAAGGCTTTTTTGTCGCGGGACCCCACGAGGCAGACCACGATGCTCGCTGCCTTCCGTCTCGGGACGGGCCTATGGGATCCATCTCATCGTTTCGAAACCTCCTGGCTCTTGTCTCCCTATCAGCTGGGCGCTTGTCGCGCGCTCATTGTAAGTCTTTGCTCCCTTCCAGATTTGTCCAACTCGGGCACTATTCCAGCATGTGTCGAAGTGTCGCCACTTAGTTGTCTCGGTTGTTCGTTCCCCATGGTTGCACCAATCGCGCGTTTGCGCAATTTCATCCACCCGCGCATCTCGGTGAATCATGATCTAACAATACCGCCTGCAACAGAGTCTCTACATCTTTGTCGTCCGCTTCTTCGTCATCGGTTGGACGTGTTCTCGCCCCGAGTATGGCGGCTGCAAGGCCGTCGGCCAGAGCTTCTCCTACTTCACCGTCCTGACCTACTGGGGCCTGGGGTTCTACTTCCTCATCTCGGCCATCCACACTCTCACCTACGCCCGCTCTGGCAGCCCGCTGCTCGAACGCTTCCCGCGTCCTCTGCAGGCACTGCACGCCTTCTACTACACCACTGTCACCACCTACCCGTTTATCGTCACCGTCGTGTACTGGGCCATCATCTACCAGGCGCCGTGGTACGCCGACGAGTTCAGCGCCTGGAGTAACATCTCCCAGCACGGCCTCAACTCGGCCTTCGCCCTGTTCGAGATCGTAATCCCGCGCACCGCCGCCGCCCAGCTTGAGTGGCCGCACCTGCTCTGGCTCGTCATTGTCCTGGCGCTCTACCTCGCCCTCGCCTACGTGACGTACTACACCCAGGGCTTCTACACGTACAGCTTTCTCGACATCCAGAATCATGGCAGCGGCACTGTGGTCGTCTACATCGTGGGCATCGCCATCGCCGGCATCGTCTTATACCTCCTCGTTAAAGGCCTCATCTGGCTGAGGATGTGGGTGACGGAGAAGAAGCTGGGCATGGACGGTAAGTTTGCCAAGCAGCACTTTATCAGCCACGATACCGAGCTGGGTACCATCAACTCCAAGAACTGAGGTGAATGGGAAATTGGGATGCTTTTTGAACAAGGAGAATCTAAACCACCAACCTGCACGATGCATATATATATATATATATATATATATTGTGAAAGCGTATGACGACTGCGGAGGGTTGCTGGTTGACGGTGAAGGACTAGGAGCGGGCACCGCGCCCTTAATTATACCCCCAGGGACTTGTTGTGTCCCATGCGATGATCCTCTCACGACTGAAAAGGCGACCCAGAGGAGAGAGGTACATCAAGTAGTGGCAGCACAGTACATCACCTGTCTAAGACGGTTGCACAAGTAGTGCAAATATATATATATATATACATATATATGTATATATTTATGTATTTAAACAAACGATTCGCTATAATGCTCCCTTTTGGACTTCCACGTTGAGAAAGTCTAACACTTCAACGAGATGCCTCTTCGCATCTCGGACTCTCTGATCTCGAACATGATCTGCACGCCCATGTACAGTGACGCACAGGCAACCATGAAGAACGTTACGCCTGGACAGCGGGTTAGGTGTACGCGCGAAGCTTGTTGGGGGGAGGGGGGAACACTTACCTGACCAGTCATGCAAGATGCCGTAGAGGATGCTTTGCAAGCCGTCCAGCCCCACGGCGAACCCGACGAGGTTGGCGATCATCATCATGAGCACGTTGGCGACGGCCCCAAGGCCGCAGAGCCGCCGGTATGTGTCTGGCCGGCCCTCCCACTTCCTCGCCGGAAACAGGAGCTGCGCAAGGACCTCGGGAAGGAGGAAGAGTACGATGAGCCAGCCCCAGATGAGCAGGCGCAGGCGGATATCGTGCCAGAGGGCGACAAAAGTGAAGACGAGCAGGTACGTGGCGATGGAACGGACGGTGGTAGCCCAGGAGCGGAAATTGGCGCCGCCAAGAGGGATGTAAATGTAGCGGATGAGCCATCGGTTGTAGGAGCGGTGCCAGGCCTTCCAGAAGGACTTTGGGGACCAGTTGTTGGAGACGCAGCGGAGCATGTTCTCAGGGGGGTCGACGCCGTCGAGGAGGGCCCAGAGGCGGAAGAGGCGCCAAGGAAGGAGGAGCTTGAGCCAGATGATGTGGAGGTTGAAGTAGGAAAGGAGGGAGAGCTGGGCGGGCGTATAGGTGGACCAATTCGGGCCCGCGTGGGAGATGGCGCAGACGTACTCGTAGTGGAGGATGACCTCCATGGCGAAGAGAACGATGAGGAAGCGGACGGCGTAGCGGATCGTGCGACGAGTCTCGATGGTGGCGGGCGGGTAGCGGAGTTGTGAGATGAAGTCATTGTAGGTCATGATGGGCCCAACGAGGTAGAGAGGCGCGTAGATTGCGTAGGCAAGGTAGTTGCGGAAGGAGTAGTCTTGGGGCGCGGCCGAGGTGGCAAGGCGGTCGCGCTCGGAGAGATTGGCGGGGTCGAGTTGCTTCTTCTTGGGGACGTCAGCGCTGGCGAAGAGGGATAAACAAGTGGGAGTTAATATGTTAGCCTCACCTCTAGATGACTCTCACTCCGCTGGTCGAGACTGAAGTAGTAGTCGAGGTTGAAGCTGATGAGCCGTAGGACGGTGATGTTGAAGAGGATCTCCCAGCGGCCCATCAGCCCGCCGTGGTGGTCCATCCAGCTTCCCCAGCGCACGAGGAACGGGTCCTCGTCGAGGAGGCTCTTCCCCGAAGGCGGCGGGGTGATGTGGCGCGCAATGGCGGCGAACTTGTACCCCTGGCACAGCTCATTGGCAAAGAGCATGCAGATGTTGAAGACCCAGGTCGCGGCGGGGATGTGGCGGCGCGGCAGCCTTTTGGCGATCTGGTAGTTGATGTAGAGGATGGCGAGGACCTTGAGGGCGGAGAAGCCGTGCAGGGCGACGAGGAAGACTAGGGCGAAACGACAGTCGAAGGAGGCGCGCTGCTCGAGGCGGGCAGCGCCCTGCTCGGCGACGGACTTTTTATGTAGGTCGGCGGGGACAGGAAAGACTGCGTTCCAGAGCTTGCGCAGGAGAGGGTGGAAGGTCAAGAGGATGGCCATGAATGGAAGGTTCTTACGGAAGGTGTGGTATTGTGGGTCGGATATATCCTAGAAGATCCCACGTGTGAGTTCGGGTATGGCATCGTTAGGGGTGCGGGAGGGGGTTCCCGTCACGAGGTACGGCTTACGATCTTGCGACCCGGGATCCAACCTTCGGAGAGGAAGCGCTCGTACTTGTGATAGCGGGGGTCAGAGGCTGTAAAAGAGCAATTGGGCGTCAGCAAAGACTCCTCGGGACTTGATCTGGAAAGGGAGTCTCAACGTACGTCTTGAGACCTCGTAGGCGATCCAGAACATGTACGGCACGATGCCACCGATGAAGATCACGTAGAACCAGTACTCGGGGGTGTTCCATTTCGACGGCTGCGCGTGGACCCGGACCTTAGCCGGCGACTCCTTGCTCGGCACGGGGTCGGCGCGAGCCTCGACGACGGTCTTGTAGGGAACGGAGGAGGCGTTGGTGAAACGCGTGTCGAGGTTGTCGAGGTCATAGACGCTCCTCAGGAACCTGAGGAGGGCGGCCATGGCTGCGGCGCGAGCTCTTCGGGGGAGGAGAGGGAGCTGCTGGTGCGCGCGGAAAGGGGGGCTGTAAGGAGGAAAGAAGCTAACGATTGGGTGCTCTTAGATCATTGTCGACGAAGTGTTTGGAAATAAAGAAGCCCAAACAAAGCTAGTCGTGAGGAACGTAGTCGGTGGATAGATGGATGGGAAAAGGGGACCGCCGTTGTGGGAGATTGGAAAACGAGGTTGCAGTGTGGTCTCGTGTTCACCCAGATGGACTTTGCATTTCTGTCCCCAAGTGTCCCGACGGGGGGGCGTTATTTTTGTAGCGCAAAACTCCCTGCTAAGCCTAAGCTTTGGGCAAGGGTCGGCGGGGCCCACATTGTTAACAGCTCAATTGCTAGTTTAGCTGCACTGCCCGCAAGGCCGGGGCATCGGGGCATTCTTTTCTCCTTTGGCCAACGGAGTCAGCACCCAGTCGGCCGGGAGGATCGACGGAACCCCCCCCCCCCCCCCCCCCCCGACGGAGGGTCAGGGTCCATGCCTCGGTACCAACTGCTACAGAAATGCTCTGGCCAATTGCAGATAACAAAAGCACGTTTAGTGAATGCAAGGTACCGTTGCTCCGTTCAACCCAGACAGTGTCTTTTTGGTGTTTTCTTTTTCTTTTCCCCATTTGAAGGAGGTACAAATTGGATATCTTGAGAGAGGTAAAGTACCTAGTATGCATGTCTTCTCATCATTAGTAGAATAGATAATCCCTATACCCCCTATCTATTTACATTTCGCATTCGGCTCCGAGGTGAGGCCGATAGCTGCCACTACCAACGTCAAACAGAGACATTGATAGCACGAGACTTTCCCCTCGATGTTACTTACTATCCTTTCAATATCTTGCTTGTGGCGTCTAAACACAATTCTGGCACGCTCGGGTGTTCATGAAGACGAAGACGGGCATCTCGTCCCTATGTCCGGGGTCCTGTTTTCTTCGGCTTGGCAAGAATTCCGTCGTTGGAGTGGCCTGTCGCCACGCGATGAGGGGATTTGAACGGGACCATCCACCTCTGCGTACTCTGGCTCTCGAGAAGTAGCATTGCCAACGTCTGTGTCGCGCAACACGTCGGTAATGGTCTTCACAGACGCTTCTAACCGATCGAATGGCGCCTCCAGACTCAGTTTGATGGAACACTGACATACTGGCCCAGCACAGGTGCTCTCCAGACTAAGAACTTTTACAAAGCGCTGACGGTTGCCTACTATATGTTTGCTCGAGCCACCTCGATCCTTGATGGAATTGAAAGTTGCTACATCCTGCGTCTCGTAAATCAAATGGGAAAATATGGTGTTGGAACAACGAGCAGCTCAGGCAAGATCTTACCTTTTTGTCCCCGTGCGGCTGAATATATTCGGCCCTATTGCTCATTCACTAGGGCAAGGCACGATGGCAAGAGAAATGTAACTAAAGAGGAGCCAATGAAAGGCACGCTGACGTCCATTCCAGACACTCGGGGGCTCGCCGATGCGAAGCAAGAAGGTTCCGGTACTTATCATGAATTCGTGAAATTTGTACATGCCTACTACACAGAAGATACACCTCATTCATCTACCCGTCAATCGGACATCTATACTCCCTTGCGTGCGCCTCCACTCGGCTCTTTCCCTCAACGTCCGGTCGGACCTGGTAGGCATCCAAACAGCTCTGATGGTAAATATGTCTGCAGGCCAGCACGACTAAGGGCCCCAGCGGTTGCTCTAGCGGCTTCGCCTTCCCGTCATCCGCATCACTCGTGACTTCGTCCGTACCGTCTTCGGCTGGACGCTCTGATGTCACAGGTGCCGCTTTACCTTTGCCCTTTGAGTCCCCCGCGGTCTGGGACGTATCGCTCGAGCTTCCAGCCTTGCCCATGTCCCCTGCGGCCATTTGCGATTTTCTCTCCGCCCTCATCTCTTCATCCCGCGCTTGCTTCTCCTCCCAAGCCTCGAAAACATTGCCCGAAACACCCGGGCCCCAGATGCGGCGACTGCAAGCTTCGCATGTCGAGCCTCTAGGTCGCCAACCACGTTGTCGCAGTTCCACTGCCTGCTTGACGTTGACGAACAAACTTCGCTCGAGCAATCGGTTGGATAGCCGAAGTATTGATTCCTCATAGGCATATGCCGAGAAGATTGAAGCTAGGACAGAACGCAGGTCTGCTAAATTTGGCGAAGAGGCCGCGGCTCGGGTGAGGAAGGATCGCAGGATACGCAAGAAAGACAAATTGCTTCCGGCATTGGTAAGCAGTCGGCCGCTCGCCTGAGCTCCGGTAGGGCTCGAGGTCGTTGTTAGAAGCGCAGTAAAGGTGTGCTGTACCAGAGACCGCAAAAGTGCCAAGAGCTTTTCCTTGTCCAGACTGCCCGGTGCGTCGTGGGTCTCGTCTGTCCCATTGTCATTCTCGGTACTATCCAAGGTCTCAATAGTCGCAGAAAGTTGTCGAGTAGTCTGCACGGCTGCATCGATCAGGCTGAGCCAGAGTTCTTCGTCTGGTGATAGCGTTTGCGTGGTGGACTTTGATTTTCTTTGAACACCATTCATTTTCCTCGATGACTTGGTTTGGCCTTGGCAAAGCCAGATACCCACATGGACGTACTTTTGAAGTGCCCGTAGAGTCTCCTCCGCTCCTGACTGCATTCCATCGGTATCTTCCTTTTGAGCACCCGTTAGGATGCCTTGCAGGGCTGACTCAAGAGTACCAATGTGCTTCACAAGTCTGTCCATAGCATCCTTGACCTGGCCCTCGCGAGCCATCAATACAACTGCAGCATCGATGACACCAGTCTCTTCCATGGCCGGAAGCAGGACATCGAGCCTGAGATTGACAGACTGAACCAACCCGATGTAGTCGGAAACATGAGACGGATCGTATTTGCACATGAGCTGTACGTAGCGTTCGATGAGGACCCGATCTGGGTTCGTCGGAGACTCGCCGTCTTGATTTTCGGGCTCGAGCAATGTTCTGAGGTAAAAGAACTGTAGCCCCGGAGCGTCTTCGACAGAGTCGAGAACATGCTGATGGATGTCAACCGACTGAGCTGACAGAGCTTTCGCGGCTTGGAGAGGACCCGTTTCGAGCAGGGCCCTGGCGTTGTTCTTGATTGCGTCTAGGACTTCTTGAACCTGGCGACGGTCCAGACCACTCTGTGGCCGTAGACAATCCCCGATGCATTCAAAGACGGCGTCCCGGTCAGCGGGGTCTTCGAAATAAGTCTGGACAAGCTTGCCATACTGTCTGTCAACCTTGTATTGCCTCTTTAGAGTCCGGTAGAACCCGGCCTTCTTGAACATGGGGATTAACGCGTTGACGTCGGGAGGCTGGTATATCGACAGGAGGTATTCGGCGCTGAGCTGTGCGTCTTCGGATAGATCTGCTCCAGGATAGTTGCATAATCCCGTTAGGACCTTTGTAAGAATTGACCCGGGGAACAATAAGTATTGAGGAAACTTGGGAAGGTTGCGGGCGATGAACATATCGAGATAGATAATGTCCTCTGCGGCGAAGTCTGAGGGGTTCATGATCTCCAGGAGGATAGAGACTATATATTGGCGATCAACAGTGCGACCAAAGATTTGCTCTTCGGGAACATCGCCCCTGATGCCGCCGTTGACTTGCTTCTCAGGCGAGTCGTTGAGGAACGAATCTTCAAAGGCCTCGTTGACGGCGCTCAAGAAGCTCGGGGCGTCGAACTTCAAAATCAGTCTCAGATACGGGAAGGACGGTTCGGTATGCTGGTCTGGTCGTGTAAGGAACCGCCGATCGCTGCCCTTTGGCCAGATGACGCTATTTCCTGAAAACAGAAACCAGTATATCTCAGCTTTAGCTTTCGAGGCAATTGCATCATCCATAACTTCACCAGTGGGGTATACTCTGCCAGTCAACGTGTAGGAGAGGTAAGGGAACATCTTCAAGGCGTTCACGCCATATATCTCGTCGTCCACATTCCCGGAAGACATGTAGTCACCATTGCCCATGAGAGGTACCAGCAAGGTTAGCAGGTCGATCAGTGGCGTAATATAGTCGTCCAGCGCTTGGTTCCAGACGTAAATCAGCGCATCGTAAAGGCCATACTGCTTGCACAATAAGGTAATCTGGTCCAAGTCCAAAGTCATAGTGTCCATATGAACAATCATCTCCTCGAGACGGCTCTCCCATCCCTTGTTGACATAGTGTGTTACCGTGGCTTTGATAATGGCTGGGGGTACGACGGTGATTTGTTTCTCGAGGATGTAAGGCTCCATAGTTTCGAAGAAGATACCCTCCACACCGGCGTCTTCATACCACTCGTACATCTCTTCAAAGAGAAAGTCGATATCGCCAACGCTATGAGAAGCAGTAAAGCAGGCCTCAGCCAGCTCCCGCAGATGGCTGTCGTCAGCAGAAGATCTGTCTTTCTGCCGCTGCGTGAAAGCGTACTTGAGGGATGCTCTCATGATTTCCATAAGCTTGTCGCGCACCATCGAATGCCGCAATCCGGTGTCTTCAGGTAAACCAATGGTAAGCTTATCGGCATCACCCGTGTAGTACGATGTACCGAGCTGTATGGCTCCGATGTAATCACCATTCTCCATGAGAGCAATGATTCGATCAGCCCAATTTGACAATGACCCGATAGAGACATCGTTGAACCCGAGAAGGAATATTTTGCCTTTATAGGTCTTGAAGCTCATATAAAACGCATCAGCCACGACGCCATGCATGGATGTATCGTCCTCATCCAACTGCTCCACCAGATTATGCAGCTGTTTCGAGAAGAGATCGGCGTGGTAGATGAACTTGTTGATCAGATCGAAACTCTCCGTCATGCGCATGGTTTGATCCTCCAGCACGACCAAGCGTTGTGTGATGGTCAGCACGGCGAGGACCGAACGACTGAGCCACTGGACCGCAACGATGGCCTCTTCGCACTTCCATCTACTCCGTGCCTTGAACTTCAGCGTCGGAGGTTTGTCCTTGTTCTCGGCCGGTATCTCGTCAACGTCGAGAACAGTCAAAACGTCGGACCAACAGTAAACCAGTTTGGCTTTGGAGATGTCGCTTCCTGTGGCTGAATCTGAGACCTTAAGCTTGACCGCGGGGAACCATGCTAAACAGCCGGTCATCGCGCTGTGGTGAGCAACATCCTTCGGTCTGGCCGACTTATGCTGGGTCTGGGCTATGGGTGTCGTAGATACGATGACCAAAAGGTAAGGGGTGAGCATCGCCGTAAGCCCCATGGTGTCAGTTGCGCGTTCAGTGTTGCCCAGAGGCAAAGAGCCGAATGCCAGAACTGTACTGGGTTTAAGAGTCTTGTTTGTAGGAGGTGCAGCATTCGGATACCTTCCAAGGATCCTGGTTGTTTTCACGGTGCGGCCAAGGGATCCCGTTCCTCGCGTAGCCAGGTGTGAGAACGCCATACCGCGGTCGTCCGAAGAGACGAGCGCCGTGTGTCTTGTCCCGAGAAATCCGAGATGAGTAACAGCAACGTTGGGAAGGTGGCCGTCCATGGTCCGATTCAGGACTTGCGCTTGATCCAGATGCGGTATGTGCAAGAACGGTCTTGATGCGCGGTTCGTCTCCCAGGTGAAGATGCTTCCGTTTGCATGACCACCAGCGATCGTGGTGTGATCTGCCGAAATCGCTATCGCCGTAATGGCGCCGCATTCAACCGCTTTGGTACCGGGCCCGATAATAGTTTTCAAGACCTGGCTATAATCAAACATTAATATTATGCCCTTGCTAGTCCCAAGGACAATTGAAGCAGAGACAGCAATGCAGGTGGGTGTTCCAAAGTTGCGCTTGCCAGCCTCTGAGAAGGCCTGGCCGTTGAGCTTTCTTAATCTCGTCCATCGTACGACTTCCCACGGCGGGGTGGGTGTATCGGTGTCATCACGGTCCAACAGACCCGAGCTGAGGGATGCAGAACGGCTGTGGCCGGTGAGAAAGGCAGGGGAAGAGGATCGTGGGCTGTGGATAAAGCCGGAGGAGATGCGAGACTGGAAGCGGCGGTCGAAGGGTCGGAATGAGGGGCTTGGGCTGCTAAGGCCTGGTCGGGAGGCCACGGATGGGAGGACACTACTGCTCGGAGAAGAGATTACGGAGCCCTGGGTCCTAGGTTAGCTAATGTCTCTTTATATGTTGAGGGCTTTACTTGCCTGGATAGACGGGGAATCATCAGGAATTGACATCAGGGAATCGATCGGACTCCCCGCCCGCTTCGGGGCTGCATCCACCGAGCCCTCCTCAGAAACATCGTCAGCTTGTTCGCGCAAAATGTCGCGATATCGGTTGGGAACGGCGCCCTTCTCAATTGCTGGTGGCGTGCTGCTGGATATCTGGGTCTCTTCATCCAAGAGGCCGGCAATGCCGTCTTCCTCCTTCTCAGCCTTTACAGTCTCTTCGTCACCGAAAGCTGGTTTGCCCACGGAGGACCTGTCGTCTTGATCTGCCATGGTGTCTCCGGGTCCATCGTCTCTCTTTGTCGATGGTGGGGTCATCAATGGCGGTTCCTAAGGCACATGGCTTGCGGTCGCAGTCGGGTTGGACGGAGTGTTCGTTTTGGGTTCAGAAGCTTTAATGGATGCTTTTGGCAGGGAGAGTGTGTAGGAATAGATTTCTTTAGTACGAAGCACAAGTTGGAAACAGGGAACTTTGTGCGGATGCGAAGGTCTCTTGGTGATACGCGCTTCTAGAGCTCCTATCAGATGAGTGTGAGCTGCAACATTAACAGGTATTCAGTTGCAATCTACAAGAGCGTACGCATTACGCAGCTTAACACACAGCCCACACCAACTGGGCGCACCTTGCAGTTCCAGGTTCCAGGTTCCAACAAGCCAAAGCTCAGGCACGGACCGGTGTTTTTCCGACGAGCCTGTCTGATTGTCACATACATGCAAGCACTAATTACTCGACCGGGCCTCTAAAACTTACATCACAGGCTTGCGCTCCAGTGTCTTGTATCCGCAGCTACACCCCACACATATACATGCGCATCGCGCCAACCCCAGGTCGTACAATCACAATCCTTGTGATCCCTAATAAACGCACTGTCACTTTGACAATTCAAACCCGAAAGCCTTCATCATGTCTTCAATTGGTCCTCAACTGCCACCGCATCTCGTAAAGAGAAAGCGCACCCCAGATGACGAAGGCGAAGACTCACCACCGACAAAACAATCGCGCAACACCGACGAGATTGACCTAGAAAATGACTCCGATGACGACAGCTTTGGTCCGAGTGCCCATGGAAGAGCAGCAGAAGCCACAGCAGCCTCGAAGCCCTCCCCGTCATCAAAACCTTCCATCGGCCCAACTCTCCCCCCCTCCAACCCAACAAATATCAACGAAATTCCTCTCGACGACTCCGATTCTGAAGGTGATTATAGCCCCTCTGCTCCCTGCGTTACATCAACAGCAGAAGCTCCGAAACACAAGCCCTCAATAGGACCAACTCCACCACCCAAACAAATGATAGGCCCAGCGATGCCACCTCCAGACCACCACCGTGGCGCCGATGAGAACGGCAACAGCTCCTCGGATTCCGATGACGACTACGGCCCTGCCCTCCCGTCTTCCACAACATCCGTCCAACGAGCCCAGGCTGCAGCGGACGCAGTAGCGGCGGCCCAAGCCTCTGCAAGTTCCGTGGCGCCTCAACGCGACGATTGGATGCTCGCACCCCCCACGCAGTCAGGCTACCACGAACGCGATCCGACAAAGCTCAAGAACCGTAAGTTCGCAAGCGGCAAGTCTTCCGCCGCCGCGGGCGGCGCGGGCGGCATCAGCAGCATATGGACCGAGACGCCGGAGCAGAAACGCAAGCGTCTCGAGGACGCTGTGCTCGGCCGCGGAGATGCGACCGCCGCGGCAGGCCCTCAGCAGCCGCGCCGTACAAAGGAAGAGGAGGAGCGTGATAGGCGCATCAGCGAAAACATCGCAACAGCACGTGGTCGCAGCATGTACGAAGAACATCAGCAAAGCAAGAAAGGAGGTGTGAAGCAGGGTAAGGACGAAGAGGAGGAAGACGACCCAAGCAAGAGGGCCTTTGATCGGGAGAAGGACATGTCCCTGGGAGGCAAGATCGGAACAGCACAGAGGAGGGAGCTGCTCAATCGAGCCAAAGACTTTGGTGGTCGTTTTCAGAAGGGTTCGTACCTTTGATACCCATCTACATGATGACGAAAAATTCATGTCTGCGTTAGTATCCACCGCAGGCGTGGCCAATATCCTAGTATTTTCTCGTAATAGGCCGGTGTTCGCCGTGGACGTCGTGGAAAGCACGTCATAGCCCTGAGATGCACAGTGATTTGTGTTTTTTTGTCAATTGTCATTATTCCGTGACGAGTGATGCCTATATCGCCGCAACTCCGCCGCAACTCCGCCGCTCCCCTTGTAATTCGAGAGAAACCAAACCAAGCCACCACCTAGTGCAGTCACGCAACTTCTTCTCTGCCGTATCGCAACAGAATCTCCTACCGTCCTCTTTTATTCCATATGGCCTCATCCTCCCGACGGGTGTATGTATGTGGGGGTATGAGAAGTGGCATCGTGTAGCATATATAATGCAGTAAAAATCGCAGGCCTTTGCTTAAGATCTGCATATCCGTCTCTGGGGTATGGATGATGTACACAGGCGACACAGCAGTAAAAAAGAAAATTTAAGATCGAAATCACCTTTGCGGATGGTATTTATCAACGCGGTCACCGTGTCTCAGTAGTAGTAACGGCAGGTGCTGTTTGCGTACCGGCCTCAAGCTGAGATGGCGTGACATGAGCGCCAGTAGCTGTTGGGCTACCGGGCTGCTGGTTGTCACCACGTCGAAGAGGGTTGCGGAATGCAGGCAATCTGATGTTGGCTAGGAGCCCGCGAGACTCTTGGTTCTCCGCAACAGGCGATGAGGCTTGCTGGGCAGGCTGGGGAGAGGATGCGGGCGTATTCTGCTGACGGGTACGGCGGCGACGGTCGGAACGGCCGCTGGCCGCCCGATTGCCTCTGCGGCGTCCAAAAACAATGTTATTGCCGGTCAAATTGTACCAGGCAGTTGGAGGAGCATTGGGCATGTTGGCGCGAGATGCCGAACGGCCCATCTCGCCGGTGGCGCTCGGGTCACCTTCGCCAGGGGTTGGGCGAGGCTTTGGGGTGTAGTAGTCCGCCTTGCAGAGAGGACAACAGGCTCTGCGGCTGGTAAGCCATGGATCGACGCAGACGGCATGGAAGGCGTGACCACAAGTAAGTCCGCGGATATCATCGTCATCCTCCAAGGTGTCAATGCAGATAGCGCAAGTATCGCCACTGGTTGCCATCAGTTCAGGGGGGACAGCGGCGTTGATATGCTCATCGTCTTCCTCGTCATCATCATCGCTATGGACACGCTGAAGATGAGTCGCAGAAGTAGGGGTGGTTTGTGGAGCATCAGCATGGCCAGCTGTGGTTGAAGTATTGTCGTCCTTCTTCGTAGCATCTTCGGAAGTCTTTTCGGAGGCAACGGGCTTGTTGCCGGTCCCAGTGGTAGGGCGATCATCTGTAGACTCGCGTTCCTTAGAAGGCAGCTCGGGAACGATACCGTCGGCAGATCGAACGCTATTTGCACGGCTCGGCGGAGCAGACACGCCCCCAGCAGTAGGCAGACCTTCTCTCGCACGTTCGCCAACCCATGTCTTGTACTTGGTCATGGGGAACTTGTCGTTGACCTCGTCCATTGTCATCAACTTCTTCTCACGGCGACGTCGATGCGGGCGAGGCATATTCTCGAGGTTTATGGGCTCTCCATCTTCGTTAAGACGCATGGCACGATTGCGTGCATTGTAGCGGAAGCAGTATTTGACTCCAACGATGATCCTGACGCAGATGTTAGATGCTTGATAATACACAGGCAGGATTGGGCAAATTGCTGACCATAGGTTGGTGAAGACGACTCCGAAACCCAGGGCAACGAAAAAGAGCAACGGGGAACTCGAGTTACTGCCGCCACCGCCTCCGCCTCCTCCGCCTCCATTCCCTCCTCCATTACCTGAGTTGCCGGTCGGGCTTGGGTTGTCGGTGGCCGTCTCGGTCGGAGATAGGTCGCCGAGAGTCGATGTAGGTGCCGCAGTTGGAAGGGATGAGGCTGACTCCGAAACTTGACGCACCACAAAGCGGGAAACCTCAACCAGAACCTGATCAATAACGGCCATTTTGACGGCAGGCTCGCGATGGTCCAGAAAATCCAGTCTGAGTCCGAGCGATCGGAGACAGGCAAGGGAGGGAAAAAGCCGAACACCAACGGTGGGTGATGCCGAAGAATTGACTCACGGTCGAGAGAAAGTCGAGGTCATGGAGAAATGAGTTGAGTGTCGTAGTGAAGGAAAGTCTGCCACGAGTTGAAACCAGGAAGCCGAAAACAGCGGTTCTGGACGGAAATGGTTGACCTGAACCCCCGGTCGCATGCGGTATGGAATGGAAACAGGGTCGCTAGTAAAAAATGAAAGATCCCTCTCCAAGGAGATTTTGGTTGATTCTGGATTTGTCGTGAACCCGGTTCAACTCTTAGCCTGAATGGCGTCGTCAGTAGAAGGGGTTGAAACAGGAAACCACGACACGATGTCGTGATGGGGGTTGGTGGAAGGGTTGACGAAAGCAGGCAAGAGATTGCGGAGTGAGCGAAAGTGCAGGTGGAGTGGGATAAGTATGATGGATCAGGACGTGGAACTCTGATGGACAGCAACACAGCCCAGTCAATAGAAAAGTGGGTACGAAACATGGCGGGCGGGTAAGTGCGAAGGACACTGAGCAGGAAGGGCAGGAAGGGCAGGAAGGGCAGGAAGGGCAGGAAGGGCAGGAAGGGCAGGAAGGGCCTAGTCATCGGCCCCAGCCCCCGGACACCCAAACCAGCAAAGTGCAGAATGGAAGGAACAGCCAGTAACCAGAGAAGCAGAGCCAGCGACAGCAGGCGCAGCCACTAGGTGCAAAGTACTGCAGACTACCTCTACCTACTCAGACTAAGCACCTAGATAGGTAGGCAGGTACCTAGATACTGAGTAGTGTACGTACATACACATACCGGTACACTTTACGTGCAACCACCAGACGCAGCACCACATCGCAAGCTGGGAAGGAAAGACGGGGAAGGACGATGGAACGGAGCGATAGGCTGCAAGATGCAGTGGGATTGGACAGGATCAACAAGTCAAGGTTGGATGCAAGGAGGTGGAGGGATGGAGGAGTGGGGACTTGTGCCCGGGGTACGGGTGAAGATGATGAGGGTGGGTGAGGATGAGGGTGAGAGGGTATCAGAGGCGCTGGCTGAACTCGCACTGTGCCACTGCGATGCCTCTGGCAATTAACATTGAGGATTTCCTGTCTGCACAGATACGGAGGGTAGGATGACGTGCCGGTGCTAGCGCCTCACTCAAGCCAAAAAAAGTACGCCGAGAAAGGGGCAGGGTGGCAGGGTGACATGGAGACGCGACACAAAGGCGTGTGCACTCCCGCTTTCTTCCATCCGTGAGCTGGGAAATGTGAGGCCAGACAGGCGCCTTAATACCTACCTAGTACTTAGGTACTGTACTAGCACACCTTCTGTTCCATACCAAATACAGTGCTTGGGCATCCGAGTGTCCAAGGCATCACATACATGTTAGAGCGTAGCATCTGTCCAATGCCTAGGTGTAGGTGACCAACATGGACACCTCTTGGAGTCTGAGTGAGCAGTCAAGGGGCATGGACCCAAGCCCTTTCTGTCACCTTACTTGGCTTGCCAGTCCCAGACTTGTCTTTTTTGAGCAAAATGGCAGCGGACTAGGGGGCAATGTGAGTGGCGAGACTGAACACTCAGTCAAGTCACTGTCTCCTTTGGGACTAGTGGCACATCTCGTTTTAAGTGTTCACAGTAGTGAGGTTGCTTGGTTGCTTTCACTGGGCTAGGGGGGGATGCAATGGTGGTGGTGCGAGATCTTAGTTTGGAAACCAAGAGCCAAAATAAAGAAAGGAAGAAAGGCGGGAGAAGAAAGAAGAAAGCGGGAAGAAATGAAACAGCCAGTACACAGATTATGGAAAGACTTGAAATTTTATCAAAACATCGTTTGATACATCCTGTTGTTTTCGAGGTGCGCAAACAAGAAATACATACAGTGTGTATGTAGCAAGTATTTAGCGCATGTATATGTATATCCGTACATGTCTACAGGTATGTGTAGCACGGGTCAGTCCCAAGCGCTTGCATGGCTAGGCCAGAGATTGACTGCAATGTGGTCTGTGGCCTCCCCACGGTGCGTTCCATCTCAGCTTTCTCTCGATGACATCCACACTCGGTAGTGTCTACAGTCTACATTTACGTGCCCCTTGTTGGACAATCTAGATTTCTGATATATCTCGGCCAGCATATCCATTCTTTGTCGTCATCGTCGTCGTCGTCGTCATTCGTCGGGAGACGAATACACTGTATCATCAACCACAAACCCTATCCTGGAGAAAATCGTCTCAGGTCAAGGGGCACAACTGATGCTGATCTGATACCCATGCTACCTACAGAAGTATCTTAGTATACGGAGTACTGCTACAATGACAAGCTGACAAGTGCCACCTGGAGGGACGGTACGAATACCCGCGTGGCCTCCATCCAAGGAAGGTCAGCGCCCGCACAACCCGTGTCAGCAACCCTGGGGCCAATACTGGTCGGACCTGCCGCATGCTTCGCGGGGTCCTTCCCTTGCCAATATGGTGAATGGCTAAGGCTTCGTATCCCCGTTTCCACTCCCTTGGGCCAGAACTGAATTATCGACAGTATCTTACAGCATGGGTGGCCCTACATTCGCCCATCTGCAACAACATTTCAAAATCGAATCTTCTTTGTTTATCCTTTTGTTCTCTCCTTCCCGACCATCGGCCGCCACCGCCGCTGCCAGCCGTTAGCCACCCCCGGTACCACAATCCGATGCGTTGGTGATCACCCAAGGGAAGCATAAAAAGGGTAGGTTTGCGGTGCTAGGCAGAAGACGGCATGGCCGCGGCACCACACACTTGCAGGAGTCCAGCAAAGGAAGAAGCAAGCACCGAGCCGCGGCCTGACACCTGAAGCAAGTCCGGCGTGGGTGGGGCAAACCGGCTTGGTTGCGTCGCGTTTCTCGCCGACTGCTTGCCCGAGTTCAACTCCTCACTCAGTCTCGACCCTAAATATTCTGAAAGCCATACGATAAGACAAGTTCGACCACCTTTGTGCGACCGACATTCTGTTCTTGGATAGCAACGGGCTCAGGGCCATGAACAACAGTGGTCGCTTGCTCAACAAGCACTGCTTCCAGCAACCCGAATTTCCACGCATCCATGGCATTCTACAGGGGTTGTAAATCACGAAGCTGTCGAATTACCCGCCCCTTGCTTATTCTTGTGGTGGCACAACGGCATTTTGTTTTGACTCTTCAATTGTGGTTACCATGAGCAGACTGCCAATTTTGACTGAGGGTTGGTTTCCTCACTATACATTATGTAGTAAGACATTGGCTTGACTTCATGGCACCAGTTCATCATGAGCACATCGAACAAGCCTTGAGTTGTGGATCTTTGAGAGGCCCGAAGCAACGGATTGCGCCTTGCAGGCTAGAGAACCCGGGCACGCCATCAACATCTTACCTCTATCACTAGTTGATATCGCACCAATGAAATCACGCCAGGCTGTTCTGGCTGAGAATATATATATATATATATATATATATATAAGGAGAAGCAAAGAGCAACCTTCTCGGCGCTTTTAAATCGGCATGCTCCTCACTCAACCCATCAGCAACTAAACGGCGGCCTGTGTTCCCGCTTTAACGAAAACGAAGCGTAGCATCCACGTACCCGCTCCATACGAAAGAAGGAATGTGTTGCTTGGTTGACTTGAACGAGATATCTCGGTCCCTGTTACGCCTCATTTTGACATGTCTCAAAGTCTCAGACATGGTCAATAATAGGTCCAGCAACTCAGCGGTGTGCTGGACTTCGACGGGGCGGTCAGTCTGAAGTTGAAATCGCCACAAATCACACGTTTCTCGTGACGATGAACAGCGTGTAGGCAGTAGCTGCAGCCACTCAAAGTTCGGATGTGTCTCCGAAACGCTAGGGCCGATGGGCAGTTGATTTCACCTCATCTTTGTGATGTTTCAGCGTCACAGACAAAGACGACGCTTTTTGCCACAATGACTTACTCGGCAGCGCTGATCCAAGCGTTTTGCAACACCAATCATCTTTGTCTGCTCGAATTGACTCCTTGGCCAACGTTAGCGTTCTGGAAAAAGGGCGCAATCCGCGGCTCTCTTGGAACTGTTACCTAGTGCCGTGCCATGCCACACAGCCCAAGCGTTGCCTCGCTGTCGGCGTGCCCCATCACCCCAGGTCCAGACTTCAGACACGAAAAGCGTAATGCCACTGCGTAAAGCGACATAACACGGCACATGCATGTCTCGAATGATGCCAGGCTACGATTACTTTGCAAGTTACTGGCGAGTAGCTGCTTCTCGTAGACACTTCAGTGTCGAGTCCTGTCTCAAAAAACCATCGAGCCCCTGGAAACGCTCAGACGTCCTCGCAAAGCTTAGCCTTCTTGGGCATCACGGCTGTGCCTGGGGTGCCATCTACCCACGTAACAATTTAGCAACCACCAGCGCGTCTACATATCACCGCGCACATCGTCAACAGCGATTGGCTGGCTGACATGGTTCATATAATTATTTCCTCGTCCAATGGAGTGAACGTTGAAGATGCTCTAAAAGTATGGTGTTATCGAAATGTACGAAGCCTATGTCCTTTGTGACTGACGGGACTTGTGGAGATGAGCCGCTTGATCCGGGGCTAACAGAGCGACAGTGTGAGAGGATAGTCTTTTGACGGTGCGTACAGGGATTCCATAGCCGATGCCCAGGGATGCTGACGCTGACCTACTAAGTAAGGACCACTTATCCCCACCGTTGATGACGGCGACAAGAACGACTTGGCACCCGGTTGCTTGGTCATCACGCTACTCGATACCTCTGAAGCATGGTCGACAATAACGGACTCTATACTACATATACGCCTCTATGAAATCCTTTACCTTGTCTTTATCGTGAACCAGCCGGACGGAACGGCCCTCTAGAACAAAATCGACATAGCAGTCAGTCTCTCTCAAGGGAAGAAAATCCCCCGGAGGCTGGGGTAATTCCGAGGTTCCCTGGATACAACCAGGCTCGTACCATCATCGTCTATACCGCGCCAAACGTTGTCAACCCGTAGACCCCGAAGCCTCTAGACGGAGCATTCGATGTCCCTCGCCATTATCCAGACACTAGGCATGTTTGTTGGATTGATACAGCGTGCAGCAATCATACCATGACTATCCATACGGAAGTCGCGGAAGCGGGCAACGAGGACGGCGACTTCCCAGGGCCCCACTGTTATGCCGTCAACCACCTGACCAGTTCGCCATCCCGACCTCCTTAGGGAGGGTTTCCCAATAACGAAGTGCACGAGCTGTCTTGCAACCGCACCGTGATGTCAGACCACGAGTCTGGCAGATGCCAAATAATTATCTTTCTCACATCAGAATGGCAATGTCATCATGGCTTGTTTTGCTTGTCTTTGCCCGGGTTAAGAGTGGCGCAGGGCTGTGCCGACGAAGCGAAGACTACCGATTCCAAATTCGCTAGTCACACACATCGTACAGTACATCGTCAACCGCAAGCCTTGGCTGCTAGCCATTGCCGAACACCGGCATTCGGATGATCTGGGGTCGATTTGCCTCCTACCGCTAGTGTGGACTCCTCTATGACGCCGCGAAGATCAACTTGGAGGGCGGCCAGTGTTCTGTCACACCCTGTCAGCACCGGTCATGTGTCGGCTGGGCTGGGCCGGGCTGGGCGGGGGAACCAACCGCGTCCGAAACAAAAAGGCAGGCCCCAAAATGTCGTCCTTGGAGCCAGTTTTGCGGATC